TTTATGAAGCTCGCTGCTTATTTATAGACCATCATCAACACTTTGCCTTTCATATTTCCGTAAATATAGAGCGTTGACAATTTCTCATACTTTACGAACGTTTATTACAAAATGTACTGTATATACCTATTGAGCAAATTTTTATAGGTCAGCAAACGTGCAGACGGGCATCCTGATGGTAAGCATGCCAGCAAGTCAGTGCCACATTTAGGATTGGGCGACGATTTGAAAATTGTGAAAAAATCGATTGGGCGTCCTGTAACCTCACTCACACAACTAAATACAACTTTAGCATTGTTACATGACAGGACCGGGACGGTTGAGAGTTGTCCCATGTATGCAGGAATCGATCCCAAAACACTGTTTGCAGAATCCGGTTTCCCACTAACAATGCCGACAGTGCAGTCCTTACTATCTCTAACCATCGTGAGGCATCACAAAATTTATTAGAAATAACGAATTACTCAAATGTATATAATACTTTTTTCAAGTCACAACAAAAAACTTTTTTTAAGAGTAGTCTGTGAATAAGGTGTTAATTTCTCATAAATAATTATAGTAACCATGGTTTTGTTATGGATACGACCAATGGTTTCAAAAGATGTGCCTTCATAAGAACCATGTAGTGTAGTGTAGTATGTAGTACCATGTAGTGTATAATTTCTAACTACAGCGTTCCAAATAAATTTGCAGAATTAACTGACTTGATTAAAATATCTGATCCGATCAGTATTACAGAGCAATTTAAATGCAAAACCATATTGTTTTAAACATCAGTGACAATGTTTGCTTTACAATTTGGTCAACATGGTTGCTTTAATTGCATAAATATGCTTATTACTTTGTACCATACATTTTAATTCGCTGATTATGTTTGAAAAATTACATTTTATGAACGAAATTGCCCGAATCTTGTAATATAATTATTATAGGCACGAAAATATTGGTATCTAGTCAGGATTTAATAACACAATCACAACGTACAAAAACTATTCTCCACACTAGCATTCTCTTCTGTGTCGTGGGTTTGGATTGGTTAACGTGGTAGGTTGCCCAGCGTCCGCGTCAACTATACAGTCAGTTAATAGGTACCAAGTTATAGTAAGGATGATATATGAACCAATATTAATAGGTTTAACCATTAACCTACATTACCTATTTGTTGTAAAATGCGGTTCAGTCAAAGCACTAAACCAGCGCTGTTAGAAAATGTTCTAAATAAATATTGTATTTGTATACTTAAATTATGACGGATTAAGACTTGTTGCTTATAAAAAATTAACAGGCGTTCATTTTTTTCTTTTACTTTCATTTACATTTTTATAAATGTGGATGGATGGAGAAGAAGAGGGAGACCAAAGAAAATATAGGTGGATTGTGTGAGAAGTCATATGGAAGACAGAGGAATTAGTGATAGCGTGACGGGTGACATGACAGAATGGAAGAAAAAAACATTCCCGACCCCAAATAAAACAGGACAAGGGCAGGAAGATGATGACTTTCGAAACACAATTTACTCAATCACAAAATTGTGGTACCTAGGCTAAAAATTTTATTCTTTCCTAAACGCTAGTTTTAATTTGTCAATTTTTTCTAGGAATGGTTGACAAACGAGCATACAGATCACCTGAAGCTATCAGTGGAGACTGCAATGCCTGAGGAGTTACACATACATAATCAGTTAGTTGTTAGGAAATTGATGACTGGGGATGGGAGAAGGCGATCTACGACGCCAGCAAGTAAATAGTTTCCATGCACTGTCTGTGAAGCGTTGTTGTTTTTACGTACCTAAGAGACTTTTTCTCAAATATATGTATATCCCTGGTGGCCTAAACCAAATAATATCTAGAAACAAAAAAAGAAACAACTATTTATAACGATGAGTATTGTTATGATAAAAAACAATAAATCCACGACTCGACTCACATGGTTCGACAAAACTCACGCAACTTATGCGCGCGCTGCTGTAAGAGTACGAGTCCTGCTGTGACTTGAAACTAGTAGAGCTTTTCATAGTTAACTCATATCAGAAAGTCGTTATTTTGAATAAATTATATACGTATCTCACGACAGTTACAAATACATACACGCTTTATACATATAGGTAATACATATTTTTTATGATCGGGAAAACCGTCCTAGATGGCGAGAAAGGGGTTGTCAGATCCTTAATGTGTTGAAACCAACTTGTTCCTTCTCCCGTGGTACTTAAATCCCTACATATATATATGAATATTGCGCTTTTTTGTTAGGGGCAAATCATCAAATGACTTCTCCTGCCCAGGGTCGGGCGGGAGGGAGTGTCAGACTCTTACTGACTAAAAACCCCCCTGTTCCTTCTCCTGCTCTGGGCCGAGGTCGCGGTGCCTTATTGATGTATATTGCGCTTGCATCTGCAACTTCGACTGGGCATATATAGATATTTAGAAGTATTTGTGATATTTATATATATCTTAAATGTGAGACAGACCCTAGTTTCGACACGATAGTTTGCCTCAACCGGAGTGATAGCACGCCGTCACAGAAAACTGGCGTAAAACAACCACAACGTGTTTCGGATCGCGCATTCACACATTGACCTGCAAGTTTGACCCGCGACCCCGGCTGAACATCAGCCCTCTTGCGTCCCATTTGTGGTAACCATCAGGTAATAAGTATGCTCGTTAAAAAATTAAAAATGAAATCTTATATAAGTTTCATACAAAACAAACAATTAATTGAACAGTTGTCATGCGGTCGTGATAAGATAATTCGTGTCTTATCATTATGGAACATTCTTTTATCTCTTATTTGTTTTTAAGTTGAACCATGTGAGGTCTCTGCGTTGATAATGCTGTTTTCTTTGTAGCTACTTTTTATGGAATTGTAGTCCCACATTGACCTTCAAAAGTAGTTTAGTAGTCTATTATGTATATTATCTCACACAACAATTATATTGTATTGTTAAACTAGTAAAACATATGTATACTTTTTAAAAGAGCAACGATAGAGTTTCTTTCTCGTTCTTCTCCTTTCAAATCCACACTTTGGAACGAGCACCTAACTTCACTGACGTACAGACTGATGGACTATTGCTACTATAAATACGTCCAAAGTGTTGTGTTTCGCCATGTGAGTGAGCTTACTGGAAGCAAGAATCCTTTCCCTCCCCAATCCCGAAAACCCCAAAGCTCCCTTTCCCCTAAGACAACTCCTTAGTGTTGCAGGTGCCCACAGGCTTACTTACCATCAGGTAATGCGTATTCTGGTTTGTCGCTGCATCATATAATAATTTGTGTAAATGTCGGAAATTGATATTTAAAGGGCATTTTAAAGGAAATTAGAATCCTGTTAAATTAATACGGTACATAGTGAGCCTGATTAATCGTCCCAAATTAATAATATGTCGTATCTTTTGAGTGGATTGAGTTGAGTAGGTCAGTAACCTGAAGCGTTTACTAAAGTTTTGTAAAAAATGATGACACCCAAAGTCAAAGTTAAATGATTATTTAAAAAAACGCTATTGGCATTTTTAAACATCAAACAAAAATAATAATATCAAGAAGTTAATTTTTGTGTGTTTCAGTCTGTCCATCTGTCCTCTAGTAAAGTTATTAGCTCGTTCCAAAGCGCAGATTCCTATGGAAAATAACGAAAAAGAAACTCCACGGTTACTCTTTTACAGTTTCACTATTCAAAATCCTGCAAGACTGTTTAAAAAAACTAAGACCTTACTGGTTTTTTTGGTATTTTAACAATGCGATTCCACAAACTGTTTTCGTGCTAAATATATCAGCTGTACATAGCAAAATGCCTCAACTAAATTATCTGCAAAATTGTTACTCGGTCAAGAGACTGTGTATACTCGCATGCAAGTTTAAGATAAACAATTGTTGTTATGCACCTATCTATATTTATATATATTAGCTAAAAATATTTTTATACGTTATTAAGATTACCTAACAATTTATATCTTACCTGATAATTAATAGGATTGTAAGAATACGCTGAATGCACTTTTAACCGGCTCGTCTAAATAAAGAGGGAGATTTGGTACCCAATAGGACTGATGTTCGGTACCTTAATGGGGTTAACCCGGAACCCGAGCATACGGCGAGTAGCGTTCTGCGCGCGCCTCAAAGAGCCAAAGGACCACCACAGACGGGGCCCCATAGGGCTGATGTTCAACCGGGGTTTTGGGGTAAGTGCAATGAGGCACCGCGACCTCGGCCCAGAGCAGGAGAAGGGACGGGGGTGTTTTTAGTCAGTAAGAGTCTGACACTCCCTCCCGCCCGGCCTTTGACGATTTTCCCCTCACAAAAAAAACACCTGAATGGAGCAGGAGAAGTAATGAAGTTGTTTTTAGTCAGTAACGGCCTTATAAAAAAACAAGATTTTTCTATAGTCTAGGTCTAAACCATGAAGCCAGTTATGGTATTTCGAATTTAAGTTAGGTAAGAATAAGATTCAAAATTCAAAACGTGACTCAATCGTTTAAACTGCAGATAAATCTTGTTTTGTAATTAGGGGGTTAGGATCTAACACTCTCACCCCACTCAGGTATACGTATCTATTTGATCATTTTTATAATTATATTTGATCCTTTTTTCCTTAAAAAAAGTTAAATGTTTGGCAAGTACGTATAACTTTTACAGTATTTTCTTATAAAGGCTTGCTATTCATAGCAATCTGTAAATAAATGACCTATTTAAAGAACACAATATCAGTAGCATTCTTCACTATTTTGTAATTGCTAAACCAATTAATTATGTACGCAAACTCGTACATTATAAAGTACCTATGTCAGTTAGAGTGTAATGTTCTGAAATTGAACAACGACGTAAAAAAATTGGATTATGCAGCGAATGATCTGTAAACTCTCAAAATACACATAGTAACAGAAAAACTGCGTCGGAGCTCTAGGTATATGCAAAATTTAACACAATCTTAATTTAAAACGACCTCGCGGCTCGTAATTAGGCACACTTTTATCAATATGTTTATCACTGTAAAGTCAATAGCAACATTATTATTTCATCTACAAACTTATTTATCAGTGTTATCAAGAACAGAATCAAACACAACGTCAAATATTAAACATTCATGTACTTATACACAACGCAATTATCATTGGTGGTCTTGTCAGTGTGTGTCGGGTCGCGGTCGAGACGCCTGCTCCTGCGCATACGGCCCGAAAATCAACAACCTTGAACTTCTCACACATTTTAAATAACAAATCCTAACCTCAAATATACAAATAATGGTATTAAAGTGTTAATTAGCAATAAGTGTAGTGAAAATGTTGAGTTTTAAAGTGGGAGCGAGACAGCTGATGAGATGGAAGGAGTTGCAACTCGATCGGTTGAAGTATCATTCAGGAGTGGGAGTGTTCGGTCATCGACCGACGAAAGTGAATGATGTTGGTACGTAAACAGATGTTTATGTGAGGAATTTTGTTCTTTGTAGTTCAATACAAATAAATGTGTTACGATGTTAATTTGATTTAGCAAAGATAATAATGCAAATAACATTGCAGGGAATTTTATTTAAGAAGATCTACTACTATTATGTGTATTTTAAAACTAAAGACTCTAAAAAAATAACGTTCACTTGATTTACTCACTTTAAATTAAACAAATCACTTGTTATTTTAATAAACACAAGAGGATATTATGGCAAGAATTTGACATTATTTTTCCTACTAGGTACATTCAATTGGCTACTTAAAAATCTGAATATAAAATGATGTAATTAATAAAACAATCTAATCCTCTATTGCTCATATTGTAAAGATTAGTAATTGGTTATTTATTAACTCACTGTAGTTAAACATTAGTTTTGGTAAATAACACTTATTATTTTATCCATGTTTGTACAAATATTAAACAAGTAGTATGGTGTTGCTTTTGTGAGATATATTTAAAGTATTAATGTTAAATAATATTTTTATATAAATTAAAAGAACACCAAATATTTGGGGTGTCTATAAGACATGACACTGCTTAATAAATTATATATAAAACTGATTTTCTTCTCGTATCGTGAGTGCGTTTACAAGCAGACAATTTTACATACACATGACGCCCAGACCCGGAACAACAATTTGTGGACACACAGAGTTGTTCGGCGGCAGTTCTTAATGGCTTACTCGCATAACTTTGACGAGGATCTTGTCTATTTTTAAGCTATGCTAAGAGCTTATATTTGAAGAGGGATGAAAAGCATGTAACAAAAAAAGTCATGAGTATAAATGTGGATGGATGGAGAGGGAGAGGGAGACCAAAGAAAATATGGATGGATTGTGTGAGAAGTGATATGGAAGACAGAGGAGTTAGCGATAGCATGACGAGTGACAGGACAAAATGGAAGACAAGGGCAGGAAGATGATGATGATGATGATGCTAAGAGCTTATATTCATGTATAGCTTGGTTTGAAAGACACCATAATTATTAAGTTGTCTGTTCTCAGAAGGATCTTTAACGAAGAAGTTTAGTTTTCTTCTCGATTCATTAATTCATTTATGGTCAGGTCCATATTTCGTAAGTGGTCATGGAATAAACAGAAAGAGATGTAATAGTACACTGATACAATGATAGATCCAGCCAAACTTGATTACGTACAGACCTATTTGTAAATATGTCGATATCTTTAAGTTAGATATCAGTTTAGAAAAAAATAATCCTTAATTTTATAGTAGGGGAGCCCATGAAGGAATTTCGGTAGTTACTCGAGCGCGTCATATTAAAATATGGGGAATATTTAGTAACCTATTGAATATATCTATCATATACTTAATGTAAACAGAGGAGGGGGGGGAACAATATAAAAAATAACTAAATTCAGTCGTTTTCGTCAGATTAGAGGGGAAAAGGTAGATGCCATGTCAAAGAAAAGGCGTTTAAAAAATCTGCCGATTTCATCGTCGTTTACAACAGCAATAGAGTTTTGAACGGGTCCCGTTTCTATCCCCTTAGTTAGCCAACCCCACCACCCAATTTGGCAGATTAAAATATTTTAATTATCAGAGATAAGTACATGGAGAATATACATTATTAATATCTGTCACGCTCGTGCACTAAAACAAAAGTTACATCTCACAATTTTGGAAAACTATCATTCCCCCCTTCCCCCACCGGAGGGATGAAATGTCATTGACACATTTTTTCTTTCTATCATCAAATCTTAAGAATCCAGTTACTCCCTACGACGCTCGAGTAACTACAAATTTAGCATCCTGGGCTCCCCTACTATTAAAAAGGTAAAGGAGTGCATTTAACCCAACCATTTAGTCGTAGAAACTGTAAAAGAAACAATCATTACTTATTGCAATTGCAATATAAATACGATTTTACGTTATATTTTGTGCACCACTATAAATGTTATCTACATTTTCTTTGACTTTTGACATTCAAAACATGCGTGCATGCGCAAAACATACAATAAGGAGACGTTAATATTGTACGTTACGACAATATTGCATGTTTATATGCTAGTTATTTTTTGCTGCGAAGGTTCGGCAAACGAGCTCACGGTTTACCAGTAGTGATGGTAAGGAACTATGTAACCTATGAAATAGCAACACCAGTAGAGTTACGAGTGTGTTACCAGTCTTCTAGGAATTAAGGTTTCGGGGATTCAGGGATTAATGAGGGATGGAGCCAAAGCATGGCTCTCTCAAATTTAAAATGAACGTGACAAATAAACAAAGTAATTTATCTTTAAAATTTTAAGTGTGGGAGAGCGATGCTTTGGCCCGAATGGGTCGGCTCGACCGGAGTGATACCACGGCCTCACAGAAAACCGGCGTGAAATAACCACAACGTTGTGTTTCGCCGTGTGAGTGAGGTTACCGGAGGCCCATTCCTTCCCCACCCCCAATCCCTCCTCAATCCCTAAGTCTCCGAAAAGGTCGGCAACGCACTCGTAACTCCTACGTTGCGGGTGTCCATGGGCGGCGCTGATTACTTACCATCAGGTAATCCGTCTGCTCGTTTGACGATCTGTTACATAAAAAAAATCTTAAAAATAGAAATTATAAAACTGTTGTAATAAAAAATACATGATTTTTTTAAGCCTTATGCTACTTTTAATTCTAAGGTTCCGGGCGCAACGGGTACTAAGTACTAAAGACGGGAACTCAATTCCTGATACTCCTCTATCTGTATATCTGTCACCAGGTATACACCTGATAACATAGCATAGTTAAAATTCGACAGATATGTATTTCTGACTCTAAATAAACGTGACGGCTCTCATAAACGTATTTTTTGTAATGAGCCCTACAAGAACTAGTCTAAATCACATTAGGCCGGATTTTATTAGTAGAAATTTTGAAATCATAAAATTACTTTTCACTTAATCATTAAACCAACAAGAAGAACAATGGTATTAATGATATCCTTTAAGAAATATTATGTTTTTACCCTTCAGATCTCCCTGAAGACATAGTAGTCCGAAGAAATGAAAACTGCAGAGCACAGCGATTAGTAGACGCATACCGCACATACGGACATTTACGAGCTACAATAGACAATGTCAACTACAAGAATGAAGAAAGGTAATCTATACTTCTATACTAATCTATACTATATATACTATCTATACTTCTATACTATTTATATCTATACTAATATTAAAAATGCGAAAGTAACTGTTTGTCTGTCTGTCTGTCTTTCCATCACGCCTAAACTGCTGAACCGATTTCAGTAAAATTTGATACAGACACAGTTTGGAACTTAAGAAAGGACATGGGATAGTTTTTATACTTACCAAAAATCTGCAAGCGGTCACTATTCCACGCGAACGGAGTCGCGGGCAAAAGCTATTAAAAAATAATTAATCATAATTCACTTGATGTTGTTAAGTAATTGTAATTTTAGTTGCAGATTTTTTAAATAGGGAAATCATTTAATTTATTGGTTTTCTTATTGACTGGGGAGGGATAGGGATGCGAAGGATTTGGCCTCCGGTAATCTCACTCACACACAGCTGAGATTGTATCTGTATGATATTGATAAATGGACTTTCCAAAATTAAAAGATTTCTCTTTTCATAGCAGTTGTTCCTAAGATATTAACAAACAAAGAATCACTGCGGCTCTCATAAGAGTCAAAAAAGTCAAAAAAGTCAAAAATCATTTATTCCAATTAGACCCTTACAGGCACTTTTGAATGTCAAACAAAATTTTGAAGATATAGTGTCAGTCTGTCGATCAGTCCTCTTAGTGACGCTATTTGCTCGTTCCAAAGTGTAGATTCCGATGGAGAAGAACGAGCAAGAAACTCAAGACTTTAAGACTGGTTAAATAGAAATAGTACCTACATTTTATCTCTCTACAAATACATATATTATTGTTATACTTACAGAAATGTCAAAGAACTCAACGTATCAAGATACGGCCTCAGTTCAGAAGATGCTGTTGACTTGGGCCTCGTGTATGGGTATGAAGGCAAGCAGTCTGTGAAGAATCTGGTAGAAACCTTGGAGGGAATATACTGCGGGCCTTTATCTTATGAGTTTAATTATTTAGAGGTTAGTGTCACCTACATAATATGATTTAAATAATAATAAATTATTTATTGATGTCGTGGTGGCCCGGAGGTTCGAAACCTGGCAAGTACCAATGTGACTTTTTCCAAGTTATATGTACTTCCTATAATTATTAAGACACCACTGACATACGGTGAAGGTAAACATCGTGAGGAAACCTGGACTTATAATTGCTAATTATAAGTTTGAAATCGCCAACCCGCATTGAGCAAGCGTGGTGATTAATGCTCTAACTTTCTCCGTATGAGAAGAGGCCTTTGCTAAGCAATTGGGCACTTATAGGCTGATGATGATGATGAATAATAAATAATTGAATATATATTGACTTAATCACGTGAAATAACTATGAAAAGCTCTACTAGTTTCAATTCACAACGGGGCTTTTATTAAAGCGGCGTTTGCGTCGCGGTGACTAGTCGGTTGCGCGACGTTGCCGCGTAGCACTAGGACTAAAATAGTATAGCTTTTCTCAGTTAATTTACGTGAGTAAGTCGTTATTTAAGATAAATTAAATGAAATATTTATTTTTATTCACAACATCAATACAATCACCCAATGTTATACATAAAACTCAATAATCAAATAATTGAATGTACAAGCAATTGTACAAATTACAGGTGTGCATGACATTAAACATGAAACCTTTTTGAGACTTATACAATAAAAATAATAACCTAAACACACAATACAGCAATAACGATAGGCACTGTTCAAACTGTTTAAGTAGGGAGCGTCTTTTCGTATGTCTTAACATACGAAACAACACACGAAATATATCATGTTCAAGAGACTTGAAAATTACAAAAATCTTAAATTGAAAAATACCTAAATTTTTTACCAGAGTGAAACAATGCTATGTATATCATACTAAGTGAAATGCAGATACTTAATTTCTTTATCATAAACAGGACGCTATCATGAATAAAAAGCTTCTTCTTTAATTAGTCTATCTAAAAACCGCATCAAAATCAGTTGCGTAGTATTAAAGATTTAAGAATACATATATACAGTACATGTTGTAGTGATGTTTCATAACGGAAGAATAAAAGCATGTTATGCAGGCATAACACTACAAAATTCGTATTTTCGTCACGTCGTGTTTGCATGTCATAATTGTGAATTTTCTGATACTAAAACTTATATTTTTTTCTCTAATACTGCGATGAGATGAGAATAATACATATTTTTGAATTAAGAACAAAACTTATTATTAAAAAAATGCTGTTCATTCGGCATCATTACAGTGTTTTAGTATGTAAATTGTTGAGTATTTTAAATGAATGTTATAAAAATACATTAGAGTAGAATTATTTAGTAATATTTGCATGATAAAGGAATTAATAACATTTTCAATATATGTATCTGTTTTTTTTTTTTAGACAGAAGCCGAGCGAGAATGGTTTGCTCAGCGCGTAGAGAACGGTCAAGATGTCATCGATAATGCCCGACGCATAGAGATCGCAAAGGAATTGATCAGATCCCAAGCGTGGGATAAATTTTTAGCTTTAAAGTTTCCCACGGTCAAGAGATACTGCGGCGAAGGAGCTGAATCTATTCTCACATTTTTCTCTAGTCTTTTGAAGTTAACGTCTGCAGGTAAGGTCGTGAAATTCATTCATAATATCACTTTTCAAATAAGTAAGATGATAGTCTAGCGTAACTTGCACAAGGATACTAATTATTAGCATAAGTGTCAACTTTTTATAACAAGTATATAACTCCAAAGGCTGATTTTTCAATAGTCAGATAAATGTTATCTGGGGAATGAAATTGTTGCTGTCACTGCCTTTTACAAACATTCTGACGCGACATCATCATAATTTTTCCCCAGGTAACTTTTATCTAACCATTGAAAAATAAGCCCTAATACAGTTTGACATTAAAATCGTTCGATATTATAAACACAGATTACTCCCATCGGCTAAAGATTAAATACAAACTAAGACAATGGAAAGTGATGTCAAACTCGTAAAAACAAGTATAGTAATTATAAATTTATTAGATCAAAACTGTGAAAATAATGGACGAGTAATTCAATAGGCTGGCTTTGTTTGAAATTTGGTTTTCTCGTTATTACATAATTTATAGAATACCCTGTATTGAGTCATTTTCCTTATTATGTAGGTACAATGGCGTACTTGTTTACTTACTCTCAACTTCCAGCGAAATAAAAGCGTCGCGTCTACTATTTCGTAGTACAATATTGTAGCTCCAGCGTAGTAATGTTCGTAACCGCTACGCAGTTTCGTAGCATTGCTAGAATAAAAATAATAATGAAAAATATTAAAGTTGTATTTTTTATACAAAATACAAAAATAAATTACCTGATTTTAACTAAATAAGTTTTTTTTCTAGTACATTTAGTTACATGACAAGTTTACTATGCAAAATATAAAGTTTTATACGAAACATTTAATTTTTAATTCTTTATTATTTATATACACATAGGTTCATTTATATATAAATACATTTAACAATAATTGAAAATATTTCACTTACAAACAAAGGGCTGTGATATCGCATTCTACGAATTATTGCTGACAAAAAAATGGTGTTGATAACCTTTGGATGGACAGAAGCTGTCAGCACAACTGAGGCAGCCCTAGCTAAAAGTAGTATTCGTCTTGGCAAATCTTAAGAAATATTTCACTAGTTTTATCTTTTTATATGCACACAAAGATCTTAAATATATCAGCAAACACATCTGTTTGCATTAGCCTGCCTCCTGTGGTGCGGACAGAGACAACAGAACGCTAAATGACACGATTTTGGTATAACTACATATTTCGTGTTGCCTACATGCAATAATTCAACGTGTATGACCTTCACGAAGATGTAAAGTTGAATACGTATAATTAAGTCCTTACAAATATTAATTATAATAATTTACAGAGGGAGTGGAACAAGTGATTATTTCAATGGGTCACAGAGGGAAACTGAATGTTATGACTGGGCCTCTACTCTACCCTCCCGTGAAGATCTTCCACAAGTTCACTGGGCAGCCTGAGTTCCCTCCTGAAACTAACGCAGCCTGCGATGTGGCTTTGCATCTTAGTAAGTGACACTTATTTTGTGATTATATATACCTAACTAGTTAACTACCACACATTTCCACCCGCTGTTAAGCTCCCATTGGTCATAGCTTGATGTTTGATAGCCAGATAGCGGTCGCCCGCGGCTCCGCCCGCGTGGATGTCGATTTACATACTTTCAAGTTTTGTAAATTTTTCTCTACCTACAAACCTTCTCTGGACTTCCAAGAATAATTGAAGACCGAAATTAGCCAAATGAGTTATAACATTATAACGTCAAGTGGCATTGATTTTTATATATAGATAATAAATAGTTTTCCTCGATTATGGACCATATTTTGTACCAGTACTTCCGGAGAATAGCGCGTTCAAGCAAACATAAAAGCAATATCTCCAGCTTTACAATAGTACGAGTAGTGTAGGTTTACTGAAAGAAAAGTTTATTAATTGTGAAGTTTCAAATCTTCAAGAAATGTGTGTACTCCTTACCGCCTGTGACTCCTCTGGTGCTGCAGGTGTCCATGGGCGGCGCAGGTCACTTACCATCAGGTGAACCCTCTGCACTTTTGCTGCCTATTCCATAAAATAATAACTAGGCTATAAAACTTAGAAGCTTCTCAAATTAAACCATATAAATGTTTCTTAAATATTAAGGTTTCTTAAATCTTTTTCAATGTTGAAAACATTAGATTATTCTCTTTTTCAAATCCTATCCTGAAAACCTAATAAAAAGGAAGGCATTATTGATTCATTTGACCGATTTGTATTCCAGGTACCTCTGTAGACATTCCAGTGAACGGCAAATCAGTTAGATTCTCACTGTTGAACAACCCGTCTCATTTAGAGGTAATTTATGTTATTTATTGAATTTATTTTTCAATCGAATCAGGAAATACAATGGCGGAAACATACTACCGTGTCGTCGCGTAGCGTATCGCGCCTATCGCGCCTATCGCGCGCATGTCGGTGTCATAAACTTGACAGAACACGACACGACATACAAGTATGTCTCTAAACATAGTACATGTATGGTGTATGGAAAGGCTGAATAATTTTTTTGATGAATTCTTTTAAGTTACATCATTGAAGAGCCGATTTACGTTGATGGCTTTAAAAATGTAGATGTATAGAAATGCCTTTCACTACTGAAACTATATTTTTTTAAGAGCGTTTAAGTACGATACTAGTTGAAATCCGATATTGAGCTTTGAAATATATAAATTATGTAGGCTACCTTGAGGCGTCCATCTTAATTTGTTCTCACAATAACTACAAGAAATTTCGGGACACAACTGAAGAATAATAGGTGCGCAAACGCCAGCTTTCGCTTTGAAAGAAACACGTTCATTAGTTCGGAATGTTACTAAAGGAATGTGAAGTCATATAATAAGTTATTATGTTCTAGGCAGCAAACCCGGTTTCTATGGGTAAGGCCAGATCAAAACAGCTCCAGTTGAAGGAAGGAGACTACTCAGAGAATGGGTCATCTAGACAAGGAGACAAAGTACTTAATCTTCAGGTAATCTTTAATATCACCTTTTTATTGGAGCTTCATTTGGAAAGATAGTACTTATTTGTGCTCCTTATTCAGACACTCATTCAGATTGAGAAAAATAACAGGCAACATAGTATATCTACACAGTTTTATATTAAATTGTCATAGTGATTATTTATTATTTTTGACACTTACAATTTTGTTAGTGGTTTAACCAAAGTTTTACTAGCTAGCTAGCAGCAGCTATCAAATAGTATTAACTTAGTTATAAGAAATAGTTGCACTGCGGCTGGGCAACTGGCTGCTGATTCGATTCCCGATTTAGAATCTGGGTATGTGAATATGTATGTTTGTAAACGCATCCATGACACAGGATAAAATCTTAATGTTTACAAAAAACAGAAAAGTAGGTGGTATGCAAAAGATATTTTCTTACTTCATTATTGAAGGAATGGTTTGGTGTCATCATGTTTATTGCTTATGTGATTCTATTACTAAATTGATTATACTATTTCTAGGTACATGGCGATGCAGCGTTCGCTGGTCAAGGGATAAACCAGGAGATGTTGATGATGTCACAAGCTCCACACTTCAATGTTGGCGGATCTATGCACGTCATTGTTAATAACCAAGTAAGTAGGCAATTGTCTAAACTATTTTTTAATACAGCTAGGTATGCACGCCAGCATATCAACAAGTATGTACCTATACAAACAAATAACTCTAATAGGCTCAACAATAGGAAAACCGGCGTGAAACAACCACTGCTTTGTGTTGTTTCACCGTGTAAGTGACGTTACCGAAGGCCCAATCCTTTCCCTTCCCCAATTCCTACCCAATCCGTAATTTTCCAAAAACCTAATCCACAATAGTTCGGCAACGCACTCGTAACTCCTCCGGTGGGCTAGTGTCTATGACCAGCGCTGCCTGTTTACCATCAGATAACACGTCTTTAAGTTTGCCATCTTAACACATAAAAAACTTACGAATGAAATGTAAAAGTGACACGTTTTCAGTATTTACAGTTTTCTGTCAATCATGGCCTGACTCAAAGTATTTCTTATATTATATTATATAAAAAAGTTTAATGTTGTTATGTCAAAAACTAGGTCTATAAACGCTACGACCGCGTAGTGCTACGCTCATTATAATTCCATCTCTCTCTTATTCTGCCATTTAGTAAATGACAGCAATAATTTTTAGCTTATCGCGGCACTTTATAAAACCGGCAACAACTGGCCATTCATAACTTAAGTATAAAAGTATGTCGGTAATCATGAAACATAAAGGAAATCTTTAAATTCTGCCAAAGTACATTTTTATGGGTTTGTTTTTGTGCGATAAATCATAATTTTCCGAAAAGGCGTATCAAAAATACAAACAATAAAAACTATGTTTTAAATGGACCCGTATGTCCAAAATGGGTTTAGCTAGTCAGTAGCTCATTCTTCTCCATTTGAATCTAAACGTTGGAACGAGCATCTAGCATCTCACAAGCCGACCGACTATTGTATTTAGACGTTTGAAAAATGTTTATGGTTTAGTCGGAATAAATGCTTTCACTTTAACTTTTATGGGAGAAGATCATCTAATGAATTCCCTTAGTGAGGGGGAAGCGAAATGGAGTTTCAGATTTTTACTGAATAAAAACCTTCTTGTTCTTTCCGCTACCCCAGGCCGAGCCGCGGGACATGATTGAGTTAGACCCGCAACCCCGGGTAACCATCCTTCCTCAGTGTTTTTGTGGTTCAATGCTGAACAGGCAACGTAAATCACTGCAGCAAACGATCTAAATGTTCCTGGTACCGTATTAATAAATAGCAAGTTGAACCGTTAAAAGATTAAATGGAATATCCTTGTGGCGAAATTGAAGTCTCAAGAAAGAAACATTATATTTATAAGATGTCAGGAAATCAGTAAATGATTCTTTCTTGGTTGTTCATGTTATGTCATTTGATAATATGATCTAGTACTCACAAATGGAACTCACATGCTGACATTTTATAGCTAAAATATGTAATTATAAAAATACATTAAGTATGTGAATTTATTGTAAAATAGCGGTTTCACCCGCTGCTCGGCTCCATTTGATCGAAGCTTGATGTTTAGCCTATAGCACTCAGGAACATTGTAAGAAAGTACATTGAAAGAATTTTGGTAATGCGACCAGCGGTTCTAAAGATTACCCCCTTCATACAAACTTACAAATTTTACCTCTTTATAATATTAGTATAGATGACGAATTACTCGCGTAAATAAACTGAGGAAAGGTCTACTACGTCTTCGACGTCGCGCAGATAACTTTATTTTTAATACAAAACCAAACAGAGACTTTATTTTTAATACAAAACCACTGCTAGTGTTGGATGAATTATTTCCCAAAACTAAGTGGTTAAAAATCACCACGATTCCAACGAAGTGCAGCAGAGTCTTAGGTCGGAAAAACGTTACTACTTTGGACTATGTATTTATGCACTAAATCTAAATTTAAACAGCTCGTCATTAAAGCCATTATTTAAAGTAATTTGGAAGCCGACTTACTTACTCGATTTGAAACTTAACTCTGTACAATTAATTAAGGTTCTGTTTATTATTTTATCTAAAACTTGTTTTTGTTTTTTTTTCTTAAGTTTAAGTCCGTTCGCATAAATTTTATCTGTACATTTTTTTGCTCAGGGTTTCGTTAATAAACTCCCAATTGTTGTTCTCACTGTATCACAAACGCGTTACGCCTGCGTTTGATCATTTAGCAAAAACATGGTTTTGCCATTCGTCACCTACAAGCGTATAATAACGCGCAGAACCTTTTTTCCTTGCTATACACAATGTTCATGTAATAAATTGGATATACGTTGTTAGATACATTGTTTATTGTGTTTGTTCGGCTGTTTATTAATGGCTCATATGGATTTTCCATTAATATAACGAGTTTAAGTAAATAGCTAAATTTGTTTGGATATTACTCAAAAAAACTGACTTGTTTTCTTAAACTCTTTAACAACATAGAAGATATCTTTAATACAAGTAATAACAAATGACACTGGGCTTAATAATAGGCTTTCTTTCTTAAGGATAGACAAAAGTGTTCACACGATGCAAAAGTCTAAGTACTGCAAATTCTAATCGTCATTTATTTTGAGTACCATAATCTTCAACAAGGTGCTACGAGTACAGAATTGGCATTTACAGCTAGGACACAATTATGGAGAGTACAACTAATAGTAAACAATCGACACCGCCCATGGACAATCGCAACACCAACATCTTTTGTGTATTAGGAATTAGTGAGGGATTGGGCGTGGAGAAGAAGTATTGGGATTCCGGTAACCTCACTCATATGGCGAAATAAAACGTAGTGGTTGTTTCACGCCGGTATTCTGTGAGGTGGAACTCCAGTCGAACCTACCTATTCATGCCGAAGCATGGCTCTCCTACACTTATTAGAACAACTCAACACAAATAAGTTGCTATATTGAGAACCATTTGTTTATCTTGATTTTTGAAATAAATGATTTTGACGTTGACTTTGACTTATGTTTTCAGCTTGGTTTCACTCTGCCAGCTGCACGCGGTCGCTCCAGCCGATACGTGACAGATTTAGCCAAATCTATAGCAGTTCCTGTTATTCACGTCAATGCTGATCATCCTGAGGTATTCTTTATTTATGAACTGTTGTGAGACATAATATTAATCGAGATCATCCGAGGAAATCTCTAGAAGACACCATGTGGCCTCTTATATTATACATGGTTACTATCCTTCATTCTTTTCGGCAAAATTCCTATTAGTTTGCCTCGTATAAAAATCATTAGAAGTAAAGCGAACACGAACTCAACTCGTCGTGGCTTGTTAGACGCTTTGTGGCGCCATAAATGCTCCAGATCTCCTGGAGGCGTTAGCACGCTTGTAGCGACATCTATCGCACAACATTAACAACAGCACCAATCACGTGCAAGATTTTACATCGCGGTACCTGAGTTCTCTACACAATTAGCACCGATACAAATCCCAACTACGACAGTCGGGCAGTAGCCCACCAGTCATAACACCCGTCTGGTCGGAGGATCCTCCCTTTTCAATAGAGGATGAGGAACTTTCCACCCTGTTCTCTCATATCTCTAAACGCTTTTATATCCTTAACAACTACTACCAAGTTAAAAAGTACAGGTTGTTTGCCGTGCCCCAATGTCGAACTGTCGCACGTGCTAAGACACCAATACCTCGCACTCTAGCCTCGCTTAACGATCTTCTGGATTCTTATCCAACTATTGATCTGTTTGCAGATGGATGGAAGGAAATGTCATTAGAATGCATGAAGTACTGCGAGAGGAACTTATGAATTTTTGTTTTGTTGTTAATGTAATTGGATTAAATGCTCATTAATATTTATTTATTTATGTTAACAGTGTTTAAAAATCTTTCTGTTTGTTGCTTCAGTTGGTAGTAAAAGCAACGAATATAGCCTTCGAGTACCAGCGCAAGTTCCGTAAAGACGTGTTCATTGATTACAACTGCTTCAGAAAATATGGCCACAATGAAGTCGATGACCCCACTTTCACCAATCCACTTCTATACAAACTTATTCACAGCAGAAAGTAAGTATAAAGAGGTAATTTGAAATACAGTCTGGAAAAGTCAAGCTTCGGCAAAAATGGGTCGGCTCGACCGGAGTGATACCACGGCCTTACAGAAAACCGGCGTGAAACGACCACAGCGTTGTGTTTCGTCATGTGATTGAGGTTATCGAAGACCCAATCTTCCTCTCCCCCAATCCCTAAATCTCCAAATTCGTAATCCTCAAAAGGTCTGCAACGCATTCGTAACTCTTGTTTTGTTACGTCAGCTCGTTTGCCGATCTATCACATAAAAAAATGTATTTGTATAGGAAAAAATGGGCAAGTCAATTGCCGGCTGGAAAGCAATTAGCGCGTGACACCAGAAGTGTTATAAGTGCGTTACAGCAACAAACTTATTTAAATGAAATCAATTAATTGTTTTGACTGCATGGTTAGTACGGTGGCTGGGCAATTTCTGTTTTGGATTTAGGGTTGGAGATGAGATGGGAGAGATTGGTCGACAAAACATAAAGCAAACGTTGTTTCACGCTCCGGTTGAGTTGGTCCATTCATGCCACTACCTTGCTCTTCTACACTTTAATATCTGTATAACTTGTTCTCCGATATACAAGTTTTTTTTTAATGTAATAGGTCGGCGAACAAGCAGACGGATTACCTGATGGTAAGCAATCAGCGCCGCCCATGGAAACCCGCAACGGAGGAGTTACGAGTGCGTGGCCGGCATTTTAGAAATTGGGAATTTTAGAAAGAGGGATTTGGAGATTTAGGGATTGAGGAGGGATTGGGAAAGGGGAAGGATTGGGCCTCCGGTAACCTCACTCACACGGCGAAACACAACGCTGTGGTTGTTTCACGCCCGTTTTCTGTGAGGCCGTGGTATCACTCCGGTTGAGCCGACCCATTCGTGCCGAAGCATGGCTCTCACACACTTGAAAAGTAAGAAGTCAAAATCATTTATTCCAACTAAACCATAAATACTCACTTTTGAAACATCAAAATAGGATAATAGTCTGTCAGTCTGTTCGTCAGCGAAGCTAGGTGCCCGTACCAAATTGTAGATTCCAATAGAGAAGAACGAGCAAGTAACTCCATAAATAATATTAATACATTTTTGATTTTGCAGAACAATTCCAGATCTATATACAGAGAAACTAATATCAGAAGGTATCTTAACTGAGGAGGAGGTAAAAGACGAAGTGGCAACACACACCAGCTACCTCCAGAAGCAATATGAAGCCGTCCCTACTTACAAGCCTGAGGTAAATATTGGCCTCTATGCACATTATATTAAGGACATGATTACTATAACACGCACTTCACCAGTAAGGCTATATTTCCATTGGAATAATGGAAGAACTCTTTGTCATGCATTTGACAAAACTTCTAACTGGAACCGTAAAAGCCGATTATACTCTACATCAATCTAACAACATCAGCCTATAAGTACCCACTGCTGAGCAAAGGCCTCTTCTCACACGGAGAAGGTTTGAGTATTAATCACCACGCTTGCTCAATGCGGGTTGGCGATTTTAAACGTATAATTAGAAATTATAAGTCCAGGTTTCGTCATGATGTTTACTTTCACCGTATGTCGGTGTCGGGCACGCTATTATAGCAGCGGTAAGACCCCTCTTTGAGGAGTGGCTTGAGAGACGCCACGGCGTCCTCACCTTCTGCCTGACGCAGGTCCTAACCGGGCACGGCAGCTTCGGTAGGTTCCTCTTTCGAATCCAGCTGGAGGAAACGCCCGAGTGTCGTCATAGCGACGACCAGCTAGAGGATACGGTGGTGGTATGCCCTGCCTGGGCTGAGCACCACCGTGTCCTCAGGGAAGTGATCGGCGGCGGCGACCTCTCGCGCCTGGCCTTAGTCGAGGCCATGTTACGGAGCGAGACGAACTGGGACGCCGTCTCCTCCTTCTGTGAAGCAATTATGCTCGCAAAGAGGGAGGCGGCCCGCGTGACGGAGCAATCCACCACCTCACACATCGCGACATTCCGGGCGTCGGGGATCGAGAGATGATCTCCGGCCACCGGAGTATATATAATAAATACGTACATTGAAAATATTTAAGCATTATGTACGAAAAATGGCACCGGATATTAAAAAGCTAACTAACATTAAGTTTCAACATTAAAATGCTGGCACCGACTCCAAAAATAAGTAATAAATTTTGAATATTTGCAAAATATTAATGTCAAATAAGTTTACCTATAAATTAAGTTTTTTTACAGTAATTCAAATTGTTATTTTTTACTTTTTAGTGTAGGAACTTTTATTGCTTGACTTTTTTTGAATGCGGTTTTTTTATTTTGTAAATTTTTTTTTTATTTGTAGCCGTTTAGTGTTTTTTTTATTATAATGTGTTATGGCAAAGAAGTCAATATCGTTCCTACATTTCTTTTGAAAAAGTTACCAATGTCATACTTATACGTAGAAATACATATAATAGTACATTGTCACTGTGTAATCGTTTTGATCTCGAGGAGAGATGATATGATGCATGAGATACTTATGACTTATAGTTAAAATAAAATAATAATCTTATCATAAATTCATATTAGTTCTCGCCAAATAACAAAAAACTAGATATTTTCATCAACAGACAGATAAAGTTCAAAGATACCAAATGCAATCTAATTTAGTATCTATGATTAAATACATTTGTACATAGAAAAAAGACCGATGCAATTATTGTTTTGTATCAATTGTAACCCATTAAATGAAGAATACTATTTTGTTATTACTAAGAACATTCATATATAGACAAGTTGGTAAAAATACAAAAGACCATCGCTTTTGTAAATATACATTTATGACTCATTCAATGTATGAACCTTTTTTAAGTAGGTATTATCTACATATGTGCACACAAAAGAAACACAATTATTGTTTTGTACGATGCAATTATTGTTTTTTAACCCATTTAAAACGACTGTTTTGTTAAAAATGCCAATGAATTCTCTTAGCCTGTTACCAGGAAAACGATAAGAACACTATGACTCATTTCACCTCTAATGTGTAAACGCAGTCCACGTGGACTAATGCTAAATAGCCAATACTAGGCCAAACTCCGCCCCCAAAGGTGTGCGGTCGCCGCTCTAGAACCTTTCGGCCCCATCGGCCATCTGTTCTACGAGCAATGTGCCGTGCCCACTGTCACTTAAGTTTGGCATTTCTTCGGGCTATGTCGGTGACGCTGGTTCTTCTGCGGATTTCTTCATTTCTGATTCGAACATGCACGGAAACTATGAGCATAGCCCTTTCCATTGCTCTTGACAGCTCTAATAAGCTTACACAATACTAGGCCCCATGCCAACCTTCCAGCTTCATCATCACATCAGTTCAATAGTACCTTACAGCCAAAGTGCATCTTATAACAATTCTAACAAGCCCAAACACGGCTAGGATATATTAATTAGGTACGCAGTTCCAGTGCCTACCTTCCAGCTCCATATTCATCATTAAATCAGTTCGATGATAACATTTCCAACATAATTATTTAAGATCATTGGTTTACAGTGCATTTTCATAGTTGCTGAACTACCTTAATTGTGATATCTATGCGAGTGTCAAGTTTCATCACCCATTTCTGATCTTCTTCACCAGTTCCACCTCATCAAATATTACTTTTTGACTGTAAATGCTTGAGTGCTCTATGAAAATATTAAACTTACTATATAGTTGCATATAATATTTGAGGAGTTCCCTCGATTTCTCATGGATCCCATCATCAAAACTCGATTTTGAAAAGAATGGGACCAATCTGGAAGCATAAAAGCCTTTCAATCATAAAAAAAATTGCAAATCCGTCCATAAACGACGGAGTTCTGAGGTAACAAACATAAAAAAAAATACAATCGAATTGAGAACCTCCTCCTTTTTTTGAAGTCGGTTAAAAAGACAAAAGAGTAAGAAGAAACTCAGCCCTCGTGACTCAAACGTAGCGCGAAAAGGCGCGACAAGCGTTTGTCGTACATTGCTGTAGCGGTTCGTGTTACTGCGCGCGCAAACACAAACTTACGACCAATGTACCACGAACGTCCAACGCGCAACATCTCTGTGAATGAGGCTTTAGTTATAAGTCAGTTTATTTGGTCGACGCAAGCACAAATACATTATTTTCGTTTTTAAGAGTGGCTTTCACCTGAATTTAAGTTAAAATTTCTGCCTGACTATGTTATCGTAGGAATTTCAAGGAAATCCTCTCTTTATTGAAAGTTAAAATATTTATTTACATTAATCAACTTAGGTTTTTATATAAACTGACGCCACATATGGCTCTAGGCAATGAGGGAGCTGTGCTATTAATAGTCTGACACTGCCATCCCACTTAGAGCCGAGCGGGAGAAGTTATAAGTTGCTATTCCCCTTCAAAAACACTGTGTTTACAGCGCAGCTTGTAAAATTGTATAGTTAAAAATAGATCTTTTTTACATTGTAGTTTTTTTTATAAATATTTTTAAACTACCTCCAAAGAACATTAAAATATTAAACAAGACTAAAATAATTCATAATTTAAAATTTGGAAATGAAAATAACATAATATTTGTATGAGAAAAACAGAACAATTACTTTGACAAGATTACTTGATTTTAATTATTGTTTTGACAGCTCAGAAACTTTGTTCCAAAGTTGTAAAGTTTTCGGAGATAACAATTTCGATAATATTTTACGGTTTAAACATTCTTGAAAACGTGTAGCATATCATAATCTATAGTCTAGTTCCCACTGCTGAGCAAAGGCCTCTTTTTACACGGAGAAGGTTTGAGCATTAACCACCACGCTTGCTCAAGGCGGATTGGCGATCACAAACTTATAATTAGAAATTGAGTCCAGGTTTCATCGCGATGATTTCTTTCGGCGTATGTCAGTTAAGGTCTAAATATCATAAAATATACATAGGTATGACCCGAAAATAGTCCTATTGGTACTAGCCAGGTTTCGATCTCGCACCCTCATACATGAGATGGGATCTCCTTAACCTCCGGGCCACCGCTATGTTACAACATGTACTCTGAGAACAAATTACTCGAACTCTGTTTTAAAGGAAAAGCAAGATTTCTACAATAAGTGTGGGAGAGCTATGCTTCGGCACGAATGGGTCGGCTCGGCCGGAGCGATACAACGGCCTCACTGAAAACCGGCGTGAAATAGCCAAAGAGCTGTGTTTCACCATGTGAGTGAGGTTACCGGAGACTCAATCCTTCCCCTACACCAATCCTTTCCCAAAATCTCCAAATCCCGAATCCCCAAAAGGTCGACAACGCTCTCGTAAGTCCTCCGTCGTTGCGGGTATCCATGAGCGACGCTGATTGCTTACCATCAGGTAATCCGTTTGCTCGTTTGCCGACCTATCACAAAAAAACTTGACAGGCTACGGCCTGTATTGTGTTTCAACGTGTAACTGAGGTTACTGAAAGTCCAAATAAAAATAAAACCGTTAACTTAGCTTCTCTGTTGTAGCCGATATCCATAGGTGGCTCCAATTACTTACCAGCAGGTGAACCATCAGACTATTTGCAGCCCTATCACTTAAACAAAAGTAGCAAAATATTCAACCTTATTTGTTCCACAGAGAGTTAGTTTTTGTACTTCTGTATTTCGTTAATTTGAAGTGATATTAATCATATTGATTTCACATTTATTTGGTAGTTAAACAATACTTTGCGGTTAGTATTATATTAATTTCGAAATTTGGTAAGTTTAATAATTAAAAACGTCGTCAATTATTTATTATAAGCAGCAAACGAAAGCGTGGAAGAGTCGTATTTCGGCACGAATGGGCCGGCTCGACCGGAGTGATACCACGACGGCCTCTAAGAAACCGGCGTGAATCAACCACAGCGTTTTGTTACACCGTGTGAGTGAATTTACCGTGGGTACCATCACTTTCCCTACCCTAATCCCTTCCCAATCCAAAAATCTCCAAATACCTAATCCTCAAAATGTGGGCAACGCACTCGTAACTTCTCCGTTGCTTCATACTTACGTTGTGTTTCGTCGGGTGAGTGAGGTTACCGGAGGCCCAATTATGGATGGATGTGAGAGGGGGGGGCTCACATCCTCAATCCTCAAATCCCTTATCCTAAAATCCCTAATAACCCACAAGAGACTCGTAATGCACTTGTAGTAACTCCTTTGGTATTATGAGTGGGCGGCGCTGATAGCTTACCACCAAGTAATCCGTCTGCTCGTTTGCAAACTTAAAAAACTATTTTTTCTACTAATGCTAGACAAGAGAACAAATGAACACAATAATTTAGTACTAGGATCATGTACTAACAGACACGTTACAAGTTACGATGTCGTTCACGTCTCATATACTACGGAGTAAGAGGTCAGTTAACTTGTAACAAAGTTCGTGATGAACAGATTAACCTATTTACAAGCGGAGCTGTAAATGCAGACTTGATACTTTTTTTTATGATATAAGTCGGCAAACGAGCAGACGTATTACCTGATGGTAATGGCCGCCCATGGACACCCGCAACACCAAAGGAGTTACGAGTGCGTTGCCGGCCTTTTGGTATAGGAGTTGCGGATATAAGGATCAGGCAGGGATAGGGGAAGGGGCGGGATTGGGCCTCCGTAATACTGCGTAACTTTATTTTTTATATTTTTGTTTTATAAAACGTTGCCCCACACTAAGATTTTCTCGTGTGTCATGGGTGCGTTTACGAACACGCAAATTCACACACACAAGCCACCAAGACCCGAAACAACAATTTGTGGATCAGCAGACATTTTAGGATCCGCGACACTTAGCACAGCAGCCAGTTGCCCAGATACTGCGCCAACCGTGCTCTCGATGTACTATACCTAGTGCAGTAAGTGAGGGTCTACTTTGGAACGTACGGGTCCATTGACTGGATTAACACCACGCCCTTGAAGAGAACACGCGTAAAACAATACATGCATGAATGAGGTTACCTAAATAGAGAGAATCCTTACCTACCTCATTCCCCAAACTTCCAAAAAAGCCGGCACCGCACTGATAATTCCTCCTGTTTTTTTTTAATTTTCGCGTTTCATATTTACAACATATACCTACATGAGGGGTATTAACGCGGATAATCCTTATTTAAATAGATTATCAGTCTGCTTGTGTGCTTTTGACAACGTCCTGTGCAACCAGGTCAAACCTATCAAGGTATTCAAATAATTATTTTCCGCCTTAGTACCCGCGTAACAATATGTTGCAAATTCCTCTTGTGTTGCGGGTGTCCATAACGGATCATGCTACCATATAAAAGAAAATTCACTCTAATTTCTATGTATAAACGTAGTTACTTAAGTTTATATATTTCCTGTGTTACGACTTAACAAAAAAGTCGATTCGGGTAATATTACCCCGTAATCCCGCACTCAAACAACACTTAAATATACCTTAATACTTAAAAGGCAAACAGCATGAGACTTAACGTAATTTTATTTAGAAACATTTTATTACTCGGGCGTAAAATACAGTAACGAATTTTCAATCAAAAGTCAATTTTCAGGCGATGATAACAAGATATAATTTCGATAAATCAATGTTAAGTAAAAAGTTGTTGAAAAGTTCAAATCGAATCTAAGTGAAAGGTCGAAAGAAAGCGGATTATGATAATGGCTTGTTGTTACCGATGTTATTCGGAAAATCTAGCCATTTGGGAATCTCATACATTATTTATCAGAACTCGATTTGTGATTGAAATAACTACACAAGTCTTATATTTTCGACCCCTGCAAGGACAGGGGTCGAAAATATAAGACTCCCCAGGGAGACAGGAAGGAATGATAGCGATATTTACATATTTTACCTACCATTGATAGATCCAATCGCTTTCTATCATTTGTTTTATTTTGTAAGGCTAGCTAGAGCTGTGTCCACATATCTAACCTTACCGACAGATTAGGCACCACTCTGCTTTACAATGTATTTTTTTCTAGACTATAGCTCAATATAAATAAATAAATTCTATATCTCCACACAGACAAACATATATGAACTGCGTGTTCGTTCATTTTAATTAAGTCACATTCGATAAAGAGTAAAGAGATAGGAAAAGGCGGTTTTAAAGTTTCCTTTCAAACAGAAAACCCCGCGAATAAAGAATATTAATCAATAAAGTTTGTTTTTAGACAGTTATTTAGTTCCCATGATTTGGACTTGTAAATAATATATATATATAAAAACACATGTCATGTAAACGCTTTTAACAGATAATCAAAATTTTTCTACATTTAACAAGAATCCAAATCTCATCAGTCCAAATTAAAATCGCCCTTTTTTCTCCACAAATTCAAACCGTCCCGATGTCGTACAAATTACAGAGATAAGATTTAGAAGTGTATCTAATTTATTGTTGGGCCTTTTGTTCTCTCGATACAGCTGTCCATTTTATCACTGGCAACTCTGAGTTATCTTACATCCAAAGCGTTCCGTGTTCCTCTTTAATTAACCAGCCTGGGTCAGAACTTTGTACTTTAAGGACAATGGCCCTTCAGATCGGCCGTGTCCTCCCACTTGTGTTGGTTTTCCAGTACATTGTTGTCTCCTGCCTCAATATATTTCCTCTTTAGTATGTTTAGATGACAACCTTGAATACTTTTCAAATTAGTTTACATAATTTAGATCTAGGATCTACAGATTGTATATGTTTTATGATTCGTTTTTTTTTTATTTTTAAAACCGTGTCTTGTGTTTACATACATACACATGACACCCAGATCCGGGACAAAAATATTGTGGGTTACACAAGTGCTGGAATCAAACCAACGTCAACTGTATAGTGCGTATAAAAATACTATATCAAAGAGAAGAAAAATAAATAGTTTCTAAGCGAAAAAACAATGTCCTAATAAATTAAAATTAACCTAAATGATCTATAGATTATGGTTTCAAATTGTTTAACATTTTGCAGGTCAGCTACTACCAAGAGCAGTGGGCAGGTTTTCAGGCAGCACCCAATGCTGTGGAGACCTGGGACACTGGCGTCGACACTGGTCTGCTGCAAATGGTTGGGCATGCATCTGTTGCATACCCTGACGATTTTGTAAGTAATACTTTTCACCTTCTGCTAAGCTTCCAACTATACTTTGATAATTCCAGCCATCGAATTTTGCTTCGAATGCTGCGGTAGAGAAGTATTTAGCCATAATTTAATTATAGTATGCATTTATAGAATTCCAGATTCTGTTGCGTTCATATTTTTTAAACGTTATGCTACACCACGACTTATTCTTGTATCGCGAATGCGTCTACAAATGTACAATTTTACATACACATCACACCCAGACCCAGAACAAAAATTTGTTGATCACACAAAGAGTTTTCCGTGCGAGAATCGTGCCCGCGGCATCCACCACGCTAACCGTGCAGTCAATTGTCACAATTCTAATCCAATTAATAGTTTCCCTACCAGAACAGTCTAGCCATGACTGCTTAGGAATACAACAGATTAAAGGTCAGACAAAGTTCTCACGTTGGGATTAAAGTTTTGATCCACTTTTGTTAGAAATGTTGTCTAAGCAATTGTTTGTTAGTTAGTTAATGTTAATTGTAAGATTACTCTGATAAACATAAATAAATTTCAGATCTAGGTACAGAGAATATTATCACGCCTTTAATAATTTTAGGGGTAGGCTAATCTGGCGTTGCGACTTCAGTACTTTTTAAGATTACTTGGTACATACATGTTCTATTTTTAAGTGATTGTTCGGTAAACAAACAGACGGTTGATGGTAAGCAATCAGCGCCGCCCATGGACTGCCGCAACAACAGAGGACTTACGAGTGCGTTGCCGACTTTTTGAGCATTAGGGATTTGGAGATTTAGTGATTGGGGAGGGATTGGGCGTCCGGGAACCTCATTCACACGGCGAAACACAACGCTGTGGTTGTTTCACTCCGGTCGAGCGCAACCATTCGTGCGAAGTATGGCTCTACCACACTTTTACCACACTTTTACAAATGTGGTAGAGCCATACTTTGCCACAGCCACATTTTTTTAACTATGCCCAAACATTATACCTCTTTACCTAGTCAATCCTATATTTAAGCTTCCTAGATCTTCTAGGTAACCTAGAAGCTATTGTTGTAGGCCAGTGTTTGCATATCCCGAAGCAATCTAGGGGGAACAATGCAGTAATCACAACGCTTGTTGGATTAATTTGTCACCGATAATTATCAACGTTCAGGTCGTTGAACTCAAGTGAATTTAGTTTACAAAGTGAGTGAACTGTCTGAAACTAATTTATTATATTAAAACAATACTCGTAGATGGTTTAAATAAAGTTATGTATATAAGCATGATGTTCAGCCGGGGTTGCGAGGCTAGAGCAGTAAGGTACCGCGGCCCCAACCTAGACAAGACCTTGGCAAGAGAAGGAACGGGGGTTTTAGTCAGTAAGAGTCTGACACTACCTGTCGCCTCTCACTATGCGATAGAAGCCATTGTATGTTTGTGCCACAGTGTGCACCCATACATGTAATTAGTCAAATAACTACAGCAAATAGCTTCATTTAGAGGACTGACCGACAGACTGACTTTTTGTTGTCTCATAATATTTATTTGAAGTTCATAAGCGCCATAATGGTCTTATTGTCATAAATGATTTGACTTTGACTTTGACTCAGTAAGAGATTGAGTCTGCCACTCGCCCCACTTAGAAAAAGAGACTGTGACATATAAAAAACTAACAAATTTAGCTGCAAGATCAGGATTACCAGAAACTTGGGCACTAAAATTAAAAATCATGGCGGCTATTTTTTGCATCGGGCAAAGTGAAAGAATAACAATTAAGTTTAGAAAATTTAATTCTATACAATTTACCTTATTAGAAGTTTATCTACAACAATATTTAGAGAGTTTTTGATTTCGATATTTAGACACCTTAAATAAAAACTTTAAGGAAAACTAAATTAAACTTGTAAACGCCTAAATTGCTTTATAAAAAAGGAAATATTATAATGATATAAAGATGTGGTCGGACTGAGTGAAAATTTTACTAAAAAAAACTTAGGTAATCTATATTGTTTGTTGAAGCTGTGCATCTACTTAAATGTATTGTTAAACAACTATTTATTTATTTATTTGAGACTTCATGCACAAAACACTGTACATCGGCGGACTTAATGCAATGAGCATTCTCTACCAGTCAACCTTTGGGTGATGCAGAGATAATCTGGTGGCAGGTGCAAGAAGCAAACAAATTGAATTAAATATACCTAACATTTATATAAAACTATATATGATACACTTTACATACATACATACTATATACATACATTATAATACATATTTATAAGGCAGTAAATATATATATATATACGTATATGCAGTCATAGTCACGATGATTCCCGCAACCTCTTAAAAAGAAGCTCCCGAACTCTCTGCTTGAAAGACAGCCGACTAGTCAAGATCCTGATATCGGGGGGATTATATTATTATTTCATACATAAATCATCAGCCTACAAGTTGACTCTGCTGAACTCTTCTCACACGAAGAAGACTAGGTGAATGGTCAAATCTTCTTCTTGCTTCCTCAAAACGGACTAGTGGTTTTACCTAGAATAGGTACGGTAAATAAAAATTATGAAGTCCAAAATTATGAAGTAAAAATTACGATGTTTTCCTCGTTGTTTTTCTGTAGTGTTTAAATAGGAATACTTAGAAATACATATACGTAATTAAAATAAGATTTCGAGCTCAATTCTTCATGCATGCCATCGGAATCCTAAGCGACCTGTATTATAAAGTGCAAGATTTATAATTTAAAAAAACAAATCTACTATTTAACATTTTATAAAACTCAACGGTCCAACGAAGCGAGGGATTTAAAAAACTGCATCTAGCTGACATGAATTCAATCAGATTTCCCGTCATTCCCTCGATTGAATTCGCATAAATCCCACATCCCATCTCTGAGTCGGTTGATTGGGTTAACAGAGCTTCCATTGCCAATAGGTACAAATAATTTTCTATACAGAACCTTTAGATATTTGTACTAGAAATCAGTGTTATATTTGTTTATTTTCAGTTCAATATGTGTCAAAAGTCCAGTAAGTAATATGCAACTTATTCGTGGTCGTCAGTCTTAAATCTTACTTTTTAAAATAGGGCAGGTTCCATTCAGCAAACATTAAAGTTTTTACTTTTAATTTTAACATTATAATTTAAACTTTTCTTTCAATTTCGTAAGTGATCGCGACAAATAGACCTAGTTAAAATTAATGATCAATTTCGTCACAAAACAAATTAAAAAGAGAATTCGATTAAAAGTTTTTTATTTTTTTTTTCTACAGGAAAGTCTAAATAATTTACTTTTGATCGAGGAACTACGAAATACATAGATATAATTTTATTTCTTTTCGGCTTTGTGGCTTCGTGGTGCACAGATATAAGCCTCAACATGATACCAACATCATCACAGCCACAGTCATATCAGCCCAGGTTCACTTACTACTGAATATGGGCCTCCCCTTTTTTCTCACACACTCTTCTCTCTCATATAATAAACTAGCTTTTCTCGGCTCCTACAGATCGCAGCGTGATGTTTTATAGCCTAAAGCCTTCCTCAATAAATGTCTATTAAACACAAAAAAAAAAATTTTAATTCAAACCAGTAGTTCTTGAGATCAAATAAAGAAACTCTTCGGCATTATTATATTAGTATAGATAATCCTCCCAATACTTTTATACAAGGAAACATTAATCAATCAAATCAAATTGTTTGCAGAACATCCACCCTCATCTCGCGAAGACACATGTAAGGAATCGATTGAGCAAGCTGGCGGAAGGAAAGGATATTGATTGGGCCACCGCCGAGGCGTTAGCGTTTGGTAAGAACTATTATAGATCATATCATAATTGCGATAAGAATTAGAATCAAACTTTCTGTATATTTTAATACTTACTTCAATGACGTATTATATATAGACACGTCATGAACCAACATCGCGGCGCTTAAAAACGGCGAAAATACTAGATAACTACTTCTACGAGTAAAGAAAGGGAAAGAAAATATGACATCGTATAGTGGAATGCCTTTGCTAGAGGGAGATAAATATACATCTTCAGTTATGCCGACGGCACGTGACTATACCTTCATGCGCCGGCCGCCATAAGATGGCGGGCGCGGGCGTCGAAAAAAATAAAATAAAAATAGGTTGTTTGGTGAACTTACGCATGAAATGACACATTTTTGTCTTTAACTTTTGGAGTATAATTTGTACATCGTCTGAACACACACGACGACATGCTTTCTTTGTGTTTCACACAGGTTTACACACGATATAAATTAAAAACAAACGTAGCGTCGCGCGGCAGGTTGGTGCGTAACTAAGCGCGATGTTGTCAATTGCCTTCATTTCATGTTGTCATTTTAGAGCGCGGACAACGTATCTATAGTTTTATACATCATTGACTTACTTAGATATTTCTGTCAAGTCTTTTTTCTTCGGGATGTAGGTAGAGGTGCAAATTATGCATTATTACAAAATGACACATAAAACAATGTGTACCCACTTTTCAATTATTGGGCACAATACTTAATTCCGTGATCCTACTGAGAAATTTTGAAAAACTTATAGTAAGTATACTATATTTTTTCACGACCTGGGATTCCAATCCGAAACCCCTTGGCTGCTACTAGATGACCTTGTTTATTTTATCAGTAGTTGATAATGAATTATTAAATTTAGTAGCCAGTCAGCGCCGTCCATAGTCGAAAATTAAAATTTGTTTCGTAGGTACTCGATGAAAATAAAATTATTGCCGAAAAATGCTTTATAGTCAATCACACTAAATTCTACCTGGAAACAGAATAGCTATATTAAACATAACATATTTATTTGTTCTTTCATCGAAACAAAATTAAACAAAAAAATCGTAATTTTAATTTTTATGTAATATGGTGGCCAACTAGCTTTAATTTTACCTGATGGTAAGCCATCGGCGCTGCCAATGAACACCTGTGACATCTAAAGAATAGTCTGCAACATGAGAATGAGTGTTGCCCTTGCGAGTTGGCCTTTTGAGGTTAGGTAAGGGGTTTTAAGGGGAATGACTGAACTTCCATCCAGCAACCTCACTTACTCAGCGAAACACAACTGTGGTTGGTTCACACCGGTTTTCTGTAAAGTCTTGGTATCATTTTGGTCGACGCATTCGTGACGAAGCTTGGATCTCCTACATTTTGGCTTAGTTCGTTTTTCATGTATTAAATTAAATATAATAATAATTAAATATAAAAAAGTATGTCAGTCATATCATATTCGTAATATCAAAAGCGGGGTGAAATTAAGTATCGTGTATAATTTCCTTGATACAATTTTGGTATCACCCACACTTAAATTGTGTAAACACAACATGAACAAACACTAGCCATTATAAAATACTTTAGCACGGAACGCAAAGAGATTAGCGGTTGATCCGTAATTGAACGGAATCAGTGAGATTTCAATTAAATGGAATCGCATCCGCACGAAACGATCTCATTTATTTCAAATCAAACATTGGTTCCGATACCAAATATTTGTTTTTATTACATGATATACTAGATACTTTTGAAAAATATCGAATTGAAAAATTGTACGTTTGTAAAGTTGTGGTGGCCCGGAGATTAAGGCACCCGCTTCTTAAAGTGCGGGTTAGGAACCTGACGAGATAATACATATGTACTTTTACTATTTCACCACTGAGAAACGGTAAAGGAAAACATCGTGAGTTTCCTCCACTGGATTCAAAATTTCTAATTAAAAGTTTTAAATATCCAATCCGACTTGAGCAAGCGTGGTGATTTATGATCAAACCTTATAGGTGTGTGAAGAGGCATTTGCTTAGCAGTGGACACTTATAGGCTGGTGATGATGATGATTGTATAATCAGCGCTTAGAATCAGTATCATCGTAAGATTGTGTCCCGAGCTTTGTGGCTGGGGAAGCTAGATCGATTTATTTATATACTAACAGCTTATTTTTTATGTGTTCCCACACATAAATAGGCTGCAATATCCACAACGCACTCGTAACTTCTATGTTTTTGCGGGTGTCCATGGGCGGCGCTGATTGCTTACCATCAGGTAATCCGCCTACTAGTTTGCCGTCCTATCACGTAAGAAAGCCTTAAATACTGAAGGAAGTCTTTGAAGAAACATTTTTGATCCATTACAGAACAATTATTCATATTTGTCTTCTTCTTGCCAGGTTCCCTCCTAATGGAAGGTCGTCACGTGCGCCTAAGCGGTGAGGATGTAGGCCGAGGCACCTTCTCACATCGCCACGTGATGCTGGTGGACCAGAACACAGAAGCCATTCACATACCCCTCAACCACATCCACGAGAAACAGAAAGGTTTTCTAGAAGTGAGTATACTTTTCACTATTTTATACCATCTCCCCTTTTATTCCCGAAGAGGTAGGTAGAGGTGAACTTAATAGCACTATCTATAAGTCATGCCATGAGCCTTATGTAAATAGGAAACACCGAAATTAACTCAGTAGTATTTAACCTGACGCATAATTCGCGAACTCTTTGCTTGGCACTCTTCTGGCTACTTGCGACGATTCGACCAGTGAAGCAGTCAAACTTATAGTGATAAACAAATTATTTCCAAAACAAATTTTACAATGTATGCTTTCATTATTTACAGAATGTAATGATTTATTAGAGCCGTCCATTTTTTTTATTTTTGTAAAAAGAGATTTAACACAGCTTCATAAAATACGAAAAGATCTGTGTTTTAAGACTGCCTTGTTCGTGCACCTGTAAGTCTGTAAATAGGCTGCTTCGCAATCACCATGATAGCTACTTAGCTAGACACTTGAAAATAAAAGGAATACTGAATCCTATACAACAAACGTGATTTTGGTATAAAATCCTTCGATCGCCAATTCGAACTTGACTAGTTTTTTTTATTTAAGTTAATTTTCATATATATTATCCTTCTTTATTGAAATAAAAACGTGAAACAAAATAGTCAATCCATTAGCATTACCTAACTAATTTCGTACCTACATAATTGTTACAAATTCCGTAATAGAACCTACGTCACAATTCCACGACACACCACAATGTGGTTCTCACACGACTGCACGTTCTTACAGGTGGCCAATTCGATTCTGTCTGAGGAGGCAGTGCTGGCATTTGAATATGGAATGGCGTTCGATTCGCCGGATAATCTCTGCATCTGGGAAGCACAGTTCGGTGACTTCTATAACGGGGCGCAGATCATTGTGGATACGTTCATCGCTTCTGGTGAATGTGAGTACTTAGTCTTTGTGTTTAGATAAAATCGATAGAGTAGTACATATTGGCGAATAGCGCCAAAGTAATGTATATATGTATAGGTTGATAATGTATAATTATTACCGATATATGGCAGAAGTTAGCAATTGTATGAAAGTCTCTTTTTTTTCTTTTTAGTCAAAACAATGTGTACTTCTTTTTTTATCTAAGTCCATCACGGACTAAAGACATTTTTTATTCTGTCGAAGCCGGGGTTGCGAAAAATAATGTACCGCGGCCTGCAGTAGGGTAAGAGGACCAGGCTAGTTTTCAATTAGTAATAGTCTGACACTCCTCCCACCCAAGGCAGTAGAAATCATTACATGTCTCTCCACTAACAGCAAACGGCTAATAAAAAATGTTGAAGAGATATTTATTTGTTCAACTTTCTCGCATACTTCATTCTTATTCGTAAACAAATTCATTACCTACTAATTAATTGTGTGAATACAATTTACAGATTAAACAAGGTGATCCAAATTTATATTACAAAGAAAAGATTGAAATTAAAGTAAATTGTAAAAGCATTTCTTTCAATAACGTTCGATTCGATATCTTTGTTCCTTTTGTAACAATCCTTTTTAAGATTTCAATTTCTTACAGTTCAAGAATCTCATTTCGCCGTCCATCGTCTTCGTTTTCATAACTTTTCAATGTAATCGATTAATGTAACTTTTCCTTCAGCTGTCGCCTGCTCTGTAATAAATCTTTGAAAAATCATGAATAGATTTGTAGGACTTTGACGTGGTGAATTTGCTTCATAAAGTTAGGTTTATTAGTACTTTAATTTATTTTATTTTATTGAATAAGAATGATATGATCATTAAATTAAATTCATAATTTAATTTTTCATTATTTTTTTGTGAGGGAGTAATGTCTTCAGAAGACTTCTTTCTGGATGGGGCGAGTGAGAGTGTTAGACAATCACTTAAAAATAACACGTTTTTTTAACGTTTTTTTATTTTTAATGCTTACGGTTGTTATAATGTTTGGATAACGACGGCAGAACTTTGGAATTTCTGCCAAATGTTAATTATCAACTTTAATTTTGTTTATACCATCTCGTCATAATATTCTCAAAATATTCTTTGTATAATCCACAAAATACCGCTTTGGACCTAGATGTGTTGTGATTATACCCTGTGTGTACCCCGGCTGAGAGTAGTATAAATATAAGGAACAGGATTCTTTTTATTCAGTAAGAGTCTGACCTACTTTTTTGTATTATTTTTTGTGTAAACGTCAAACTAATCTATAATTACCTGATGAAACGAAGAACGAAATTCCGTCAATAAAACATATTTTCTATTTATCCAGCCAAATGGGTCCGCAGTAATGGCCTTGTGATGCTCCTTCCCCACGGATACGATGGTGCTGCCTCCGAACACTCCTCCTGCAGGCTGGAAAGGTTCCTGCAGCAGACGGACAGTAAGGAGTCCACTCCTGACTCCGAGAATGTTTGTCTCCACGTAGCTAATGCCACTACACCGGCCCAGTACTTCCATTTGTTGAGAAGACAGGTAAGCTATTATATATCAAGTTTTCTTTGTTCTATCTCTCTTTGTGGTATAGCGACTTCCTGCGGATTTTTGATTTAAAAACTATCCTATGTCCTTTCTCGGGTTCCAAAATATGTCTGTACCAAATTTCACACTATTGGGTTCAGTAGTTGTAGTGAAGAAAAAACAGACAGACAGAGTTACTTTCGCATTTATAATATTAGTTTGGATAAGTTTGGATATTTGTATATGTAAAATATCTAAAATACAGAACAAGTACTCAAGTAATTAACAATTAAATAAAAAACAATTATAAAACTATTCATTTAATACTAGTTACTGCCGCGCGGTTTCACCCGCTGCTCGGCTTATGGTGATGTTTTATAAACTCCTCCTCGCGTCGGTTTCCTCAGTGCTGAGGGTCGTGACCACCTCGTGGAAGCAGTGTACTGCGTCTTACTCCCCGCTATCTATTTATATCTGCCGCCGAGTGGAGAGCGTTTTATAACTAATAGCACTCAAGAACATTATAGCTTTGTATCGGCGAAAGAATTTTGGAAACCCGACCGACGAAACGGTTCCAAATATTATCCCATACATACAAACTTTCAAATTTGACCTCTTTATATTATTAGTATAGAAAAACTCGTACCTATTAAAAGACGTATGAGCTCAGAAAATAAATATACTAAAAATAAATAATAAAATAAAAATAAATTTTCCATGTCATAGTAACGAATGAAGTTACGTGCGCTCGTAACATCAATATAAAAACTCATAAGTAGTTAAAAAACTTTCAAGTTTTAACATTCTTGTAATTGATAATATGTATGAAGAAGTTTCTCACATTAATTACTCTGTAAATAATAATAATTCATAAAAACATTAAATACTGATCTCAGAAAATACGAAAATACTGTTTTATATTCAGCGACCTTATTTATCTTAAGTCTTAATAACTCTTGGTACTGTAAAACTCAGAATTAACTTCGATATTATTTTATTTACATAACTACTTACGTGAATTTAACATGAAAAGCTCAACTACTTTCATCTTGTTTGGATTGTGTTGAAAAGTGCGTATTACTTCTTAAAAGGCCAGCAACGAGCCTGTGATACCTCTGGTGCCGCAGGTGTAAAATGGCGGCGCAGATCAACTCCTATGCCAGAAAAAAATGTTAAATTCGCGACGTCGCACACATTAAGAGAATAAGAGTCCTGTGACTTGAAACTAGTACCTAGATATTTTCTTAGCTAATGCACGTAAGTCGTTATTTTCAGTAAAGAAAAACATTTTATTTATCTAAACCTAAATTTAATTTAAATTTCCAGATGGTAAGAAATTACAGAAAACCTTTGGTAATAGCGTCACCGAAGATTCTTCTGCGATTAGCTGACGCTGTATCCAATATATCAGATTTCGCGCCCGGAACACACTTCAAGAATGTTATTGGTAAGAAAACTTTAAATAAAGAACAAATATCATTAAAGTGTATGTTCATTTTTTTATTTATAACCAGTGTGTCGCCTTGTGATAAGCGATGATTTGACCTCTACCCATAAGCAACCTATTTACTTGAGCCTTCACTCACTCAGGTTATAGTACCTACCCCTATTTATTGTATAAAAGTATATTTGTATGGGATATGTCGGTAAATGAATAGACGGATAACTGGATGGTAAGCAATCGACGCCACCCATGGACATTCGCAACACCAAATCCTCTAAGATTTGCGTATGGAGGATGGAGAATTGGGATTCTGGCAACCAGTTACATGGCCGTAGATGTTGATTCACGCCGGTATTATGCGAAGCGGCTGAGAGAGTACACTTCTGTTATGTAGATAATTTTTGTCATTTACTGTACTAAGTAGAAAAAACAAAACAACAGAAGATATCGGGCAAAATCATATCGGGGGCGTCGGTCACGGGTGCGTCGACCACTGGGGGTCTAAGCCACGGACCCCAATTATATCATTTCAATTATTCATATTGGTATGAAAAGTTCTATTAATAAACAAAAGCCATTAACAACAAATAATAAAGACACAGAAGGCGTAACTGAGCAGGAAAACGCAACCCTTTTCCTAAGTTTTCGTCAAAGGACAGAATCGTTTGGTATATACGCACAAATAGCACAGCAACTAATGTCCATGAGTTACAAACAAACAAACAAGTTGATTTATAAATGCTTACACATAAATATATGGAATACGAACCATTTTGTAGATGAAAGGAAATAACTATTTGTGTCTATATACATCGGGCCTAATTTTCTTAATACAAAAATTGTATCAAGAAATTGTGTGCGATACTTGATTTGGCCTCGCTTTTGTATTGTGGAATATGATTTGGTCGATATATTTTTTTTATCTGATAGGATGAAAAACCTGCATACGGATCAACTGATCGGCGTTGCCCATGGAGGACCAGTACATAGTTCTCCAGCTAATGTCACATTAATAGAGAGTAGGTGGCGCGAGAAATGAAAAATGACACTAACAAATTAATTTCTTCGCGTCACCCTTAAATTGTATATCGACACTGCCTGGTCATAAAATTACACCAGTTAAAGGTGTTTCGAACTGATGGGTAATGTGGTACCTATTCGAGTAAAAAATAAAAAGGTTCCATAGTGTGGAGCATCAAAATAAACGAAATGAAATGAACGCCATTTTATGCCAAAATTACTACATAGTTAGAAATTCTTATTTTAAATATGACACTTTGGCAATTAGTCTTTGGATGATATCCTTAATTTGGAATCTGCTTTGTCTGGTTGATGGTTCAGGGGCCAAGTAAAACACAGCGTTCAGATACCGGATATATTACAAAAAAAAACTCCAAAAAAGCCTTTCACTCGGACCAGTGCGCAGTAACTGTCCGTTCCTTGTATATCTCTCTCATACATTTTTACTCGTCTTGCACTCTACCATACATACTTACATGTGTCTCTACAACACCCACTCACTTTTCACCAAATTGATGACAATTAATTGCGAACTAACACCCCGGGGAAAATACTCTATTAATATTATACAGTTATCAATTTTCACCTTTACTTCTTAATATTAATAGAGTTCACTTTACCATACAACACTAAATCCACATACATCATTTTGTTATTATTTCCAGGTGATCCCTTAGCTGACCCGCTGAAGGTGAAACGTGTGATTCTGGTATCTGGCAAGCATTACTATGAGCTTCACAAGGAGAGGCTTAGAGCCAACGTAGACGACGTGGCCATTATAAGAGTAGAGGGCCTTGCTCCCTTTCCTCTACATGAACTCCAGATAGAACTACAGAAATTCAAAAATGCTAGAAGTAAGATGTTTTTTTTTATATTTTAAGATTATAAGATTTTTGATTAATTTACACACACAATATTTTAGGCATTTTTTAACCCTTGGTTTGCCTGGTGCGACGTGTTGCCGTATTGGATAGTAATATTGGTCTTGAAATACTGGAAGATGGTGATGCACTAACTACTAATTTTTTATAGTATAGGTCGGCAAACGGGTATACGGATTACCTTATGGTAAGCGATCGGCGCCGCCCTTGGACACCCGCAACACATTTTCTATTCCGTGTTAACACTAAAGGAGTTATGAGTGTGTTGCCAGCCTTTTAAGGAGATATTGGTTTCGAATAATTAATTATTGGGAAGTTATAGAGGGGAAGGAGGGGATTGGGCCTCGTGCAAAATATGATCTTTAACCTCTAGTGTTGCTGTGATACTTTTCGTTTCTATTACGGAGACACGGCGATATTTACGTTCCGTTCGCTTGTTCGTATATATTGAAACGTTAATAAGTAACATTTTACTATAGTAGTAGTAGTAGTAGTAGTAGTAGTAGTAGTAGTAGTAGTAGTAGTAGTAGTAGTAGTAGTAGTAGTAGTAGTAGTAGTAGTAGTAGTAGTAGTAGTAGTAGTAGTAGTAGTAGTAGTAGTAGTAGTAGTAGTAGTAGTTAGTAATGGTAATGTTTTATGAAGCTTAGTGATGTTTTCACACTGTGCAAAGAAAACTGACATTTAACTGAAGCGTTGTACTTTGTAGACAAAACGTGACTACTGATGTGTACGAGACACTGAACCTTGTTGGATACATCCACGGGTACATCGCAATTTGCATAGAATACGCATACTTGCACGAATTTCATTCCCAAGTACAAGGTGCCCATGTTAAATGTAAGAATATTTTTTGTCCACTATGTTCTCACACGGGGCGACCGTGCAGCCGTACTCTCGGCACAATTTAATTTCATTTCCTAAAAACTATAAAAAAAAATGCTTCGTTCAAATCTGCTACTCGTATAAGACCTGAGATCACACTCGTAACCGCATAATCGAAACGACAACGTCGAGCAAGGATAGCTCGCCCTCCGGCCAGAACCAGACCTAACGTCCGACGCGTCTATTCCGCATAGGCCTCAAAGAACTCTCAGAGCATCATAGAAATAGTGCCTATTAGACCTGATGTCCACCAGGGCTGTGAGCGCAAGTCAATAATATGCCGCGGCCCCATTTCACAGAAAGAGAAAGAATAGGGTTGTTTTTAGGACAGGATAGGATAGAGTAGGTAGTGTAGGGTAGGTAGAGTAGGGTAGGTAGAGTAGGGTAGGGTAGGTAGAGTAGGGTAGGTAGAGTAGGGTAGGTAGAGTAGGGTAGGGTAGGTAGAGTAGGGTAGGGTAGGTAGAGTAGGGTAGGTAGAGTAGGGTAGGTAGTCAAATGACGGGAGCGGAGCGACGCCGTGGCTATGAGCTAGTTAACTATAAAGAAGTTAAGCCATCATCATAATTTTAACTTTAAAAACAAGTCATGCCCAAATAAAGGTTGTCTGAAGTTATCCGAATTCAACTCGACCAGAAATGTTTGAAATAAAACAAATACGCCGCGAAACCATTATTGTTTTAAACCTTAAAACTTCAATATTATTTTAAGTAGATAATAACAAATGTAGCTTAAACTTTTAGATATAAACATTGAATTTTGTATTTAAATTGTAATGAGTTGTGTTTACTTGGGTTTTAATTAATGTAAAAACTTTTTCAGAATTCATATGGAGCCAGGAGGAGCACAGAAATATGGGCGCTTGGAGTTTCATCAAGCCGAGATTCGAAAATCTTCTCGGAAGAAAGGTAACAAGTTTTGAAGTTATCCTTCGGGTGTTCTCAAGTTTTTTTTCATCAGCTTTTAGGTACTCGTGACCTGGTTTGAGATAGGTACTGATACGCTTTAAAATAAATCGTGTGTATAAAAGTGCTAAAATGTAACGTTTGAATGTCTACTGAACGTAATACTATACAAGTTTATTACGAAACTAGCTTTTGCCCGCGGCTTGGTTCCCAATTTCAGTGACCTTACTTCTCTAATGACAGAAAAAGATTCAGCATACTAATGCACTTTTTCCCAAAGCCCGATCATTGTTAAAATCAACTAACTAGGTATCAAATCTCTTGTCAAGTCATCTGATTGGTTGCCTGAATTATCAACAACCAATCAGAAGACTTGACAAGAGATTAAATTGATTTTAACATTGATCGGCTTTTCGGAAACCGGGTGTAAGTCTAAATGATAAAGGTTGTTCACCATTAATATTTTTTAGTATTTTTCTAGTAAAACTAGCGGCCCGCCCCCGCTTCGCTCGGGTCCAACTACCTATCTCGCTTTTCACTTTCACGGGTCACTTTTTCCTAAACTTCCCCCCTCTACTTTTCTGATATTTTCTTTGATAAGAACCTTCTCCTGACAATAACAAACACAACAAAAAAATAATTAGCAGAATTGGTCCAGGCGTTGTTGTGTTATGCGCTTACCAACACATTTTGCGATCCATTTTTATATATATAAGATTGCGTTTGCCGAATCAGCCAGTACTCCCTACAAAAAATTCACCACTATCCCATAATTAGTAAAAAGATATACATACACACATATAGATGTACAAAATTCAAGTGTTCTTCGAGTATATTTTCGTTTTGCTTACCTATTTGCACCTTTATCGGAAAACAATTTATTCAACTACATACGCAAACCTCGAGCTCTTCTCAAATCGTTGGGAACGAACGCAAGCCAATTGTTTACGAAGAATAGTTTACATAATAATAAAAGTACCATTTCTATACCTACAATGTTTTTAAATTCAAAATTTTATTAAATATTGAGTAGATAAATTTAAATAAGAAAAAGATGACGAAAATTTTTACATCTATTTTATTTTGTTTTAAATAATACTGTCTATAAGTGTATAAAACACAGTAACAATGAGACTTAACGCCTAATAACATTTTTTTACTCCGGAATAACACATAGGTAGTCACATAGGTTCCATTTTTGCTGATTGGCAGGAGACATTTGATGATTTTGCTCTCACAAAACAAAAAGGCGACATTTTTACTTCTTATTTTGAGAAGTCGGATGAAGTCGCATGCAGAAGTCATGCGTAACCAATTCTTGTATTTAATGAACGGCTAAGCGTAAATATATTCGGAACGGAAAGTTCAATACAAATAAATATATATACTTACATCAAGTGCCCATTTGCAATAAAATCAAACATCTACTCAAATTTCTGATCGTTAAGTGTCATATTTGAATGGCAAATGACGTAATTTCGATGCCTGAAGTCGTCAGATTTTATGAACGCACGTTGAATGTTATCATCTGATCTGAACATTTGAATCCGACATTTTGTGATATATGGATGACCCTTTTAACATTCGCTTATGATAGTACTGCTACACCGTAGATAAAGGTATTACAATCTACTTTGAGCTTAATCATACGTCAGCTTAAGGTTTAAAATCATTTTCCCAGTGGCCAATAGCAAAGGCGATATATTATGTAAACTCACTAATAAGTACGTGATAAAGGAAGGGTTTTTAGAAAAGAATTATAATGTACCTGCCTATCTTTCTACAGTAAAAAATTGGGTTTTGCTTAACACGTTCGCTGCATTACGAGATCTATCAGATCTCTTGCAGAACTTTTCTATTGTGCGTTGAATAAAATCGTGTTGTTTCACTCCTTGCGGGAGGATCTAACTTGTAAAGTTCTTTATGTATGAGTAAGACACATATACATATTTGCGTTCTACTTAAAACTGAATTTAAAGACATTAAAAAATAAATTAGAGATGGATTAGATCCCTAACGCACAGTACTATAATTATTTTTATTTCTTGCGTTACGAGATATGTCGATACTCGTGGAATCATAGGCCTCGTAGACGCAAGAGAGGAAGGGAGGGCGGCGCGGGCGCTCCGTGACTCGTGTTAGTGTTGTCCTAGCATCGACGTGGATAATCGGAAATAACACTCGCGTATATACGTCGTGTACGTGTTGATTACTTTTTATTAACAATGAGTGATTTTAGAAGGAAACATATGCTCATAAAGGTAGCTAAAATCTCTCCAGAAACTAAGGTAATGGTTCCAGACAACGCATATGCTAAGCATCGTCAACTAACTGCAGCACGGTTCGCATGAAGTCGAGCTTATTATGCACCATTTCAATCATTCCAGTTTACTGAATAGACGTCTTCTTGGATACAATTTAAATAGCCAGGCACATGTTAGTACATGTGCCTGGCTTTTTTGGACTAAACGTAGTTTTTGTGTTAATGTACTTCTTCTGTTGATTGCCTGAAAATGTTTGGTTGTTGCTGTGACTGTCTTATCTTAGTCGCATTCCTGGTGGGCTTTGCTGCTTATCTCTAATGTTATAGTGTTAGAATTATGTAAGCATTACTACACGGCGGGGAACCCGGTTTCACATCTCTCTGGCAAGTTTCTGGTAACATTAGCAATAACAATTTCAGTCATTATAACAAAAACGTTGTTATAGTAAACTAGAAGTAACTAGTATTAATAATTTTTTAAATCGACAACTGAGATATTATTTTGTTCCCATCACTACTTACTACACATATTGAACTATCTTCGGTTGCGGTATGAGATACGACCGATACCTATTTTTTTTTTGGTATTTGTAGTTTATACAAATGTCATAACTGCGTGCGAACCTAGCAAAATATAGAGCAACAGGCTATCTTTCACCCACATAAACTTTAAAATATATGTCATTGGTTTTCTGGAAGATATGAGTTATTGTCAAAACTGTATTTTTAGGAGACTGATTAGGTCTCAAACGCACTAAAGGGCAGATTAGTTTCGAGATCTTTTAGGTCTCCAAAGCACCAGCTGAAAGTTCTTTGAAAATGATGGCGCAGTGAACGTGTTAAACAAATTATATTAATGTCTGTACAATAAGCTGAAGTATCTATACTAATAATAAAGAGGTAAAACTTGTAAGTTTATATGTAGGGAACTGTCTTTGGAACCACTGGTCGGATTCCCAAAATTCTTTCACTGATAGCTCTATAAAACATCACGCAATGATTAAATGGAGTCGTGCATCGAATGACACCTTTTTTATTCTCTTTTTTCCAGTTATTATATTCTGGCAGGGCAGAAGGAGCCACACCCGCCGTTGGAGCCGCAGTCTTGCATCGAGCTGAAGTAGAACATATAATAAAAGAACCTCTACACACTATGAAATAAAACGATATTAGTATTATAAACTGTTGAATATTGTGCATTTAAAAATGTCCGAGATTCTGTATACAATCTGCCAAATGATATATGTTTAAGTTAATAAAGTTGCATTGTAAATATCTTTGTGTGTTTTCAATCATATCTTTTAGCGAATAATAGTCGTTCATAGCTGGATAAGATGAATGAAAAGAATAATCATATTTATAATGGATGTAGATTAACATGGTTTTTAAGAATATTATTATGTTACACATTATTTGAACTTAAATGTACAAACATTATTAGGTAATAGAATACTTCTAGTACTCATACTTGGCTACTTGCACCCAATAATTTGCTAATTCCAAATGTTTATGTGTATATAGTAATGAAATAAAGATCAATTTGGAAAGAGGAATCTGTATTGCATCGATATATCATCCATTCATTCAAATACAAGAGAAGAAAACGCATCATTTTTTATATAAAACTCAAAACCTGATCGCCCAATCATTGCATACACATGTTATGTTTCGTCTAAGTTTTGAAAGATCTCATCACTTCATCAGAAAATTGTCGCACTCCAAATTTCCATGCAATTACACAGAGACAGAATCATTCCCAATTTTTCGCTGTATTATGCAAAAGAAGAACCGGTTAGCGAAGGACATCTTAAAGGACTCTTACATCGTACGATTCATCGTATCAAGTTCATTATAATGGACAACATGTGATTTTTTTTAAGTGTGGGAGAGCATTTTGGCGTCAACCTGATGCTATCACTGCACTTTTAGCTATTGGCTAATGAATGAATGAATGAATATTCTTTATTGTACACCATAATGATAATAAATACAGGAAACAATTAACACAGAAGATGGTATAATTGGCGGTCTTATCGCTTAAAAGCAATTTCGTCCAGACAACCTTTGGATGGAGTTTAATTGTAGAAGAATTTAATACGGGCAGTTTACGGCATAGGTACATAAAGATAATTTAAAATTAAAAAAATAAATAAAAATAATACATAACGTTTAAGGATATAAAGAGTAAATAAATAAATAGTTGTAATGTGTGCTAATGGTTGTGTACAAAACAATAAAATTATTATCCTTAACATTGATCATAGCAAAGTTTAGTGTATGAAAACCGGTGTATAGCAGCACTTACGTTGTATTTCGCCGTATGTGTGAGGTTACTGGAAGCCCAATTCTCTCCGACCCTATACTCAATCCGCAAGTCCCCTATCCTTAAATCCCGAATGACCCACAAGAGACGGGCAACGAGTGTCCATGGACGGCGCTGATTGCTTACCATCAGGTATCTTTCTGCTCGTTTGCCGACTCATAACATAAAAATGTTTTTAGGTCATCACTCGGTACGTTTTTCGTTTTTCATCACATAGGTCGAAACGATAAATCGTATCATATGAGGACCCCTTAAAACTTAATATATTGCCGTTATGATCTGCAGAGGTGAACAGACTGGCTGGAAACGAGCCAAATACGATCCCAGACCTTCTGAATGTAGGTCGTGAGGATATGAGAATAACCCCCTCGTCAGACACGAAGGACTGTATTAGGTAGGTAAGCTAAAACATTCCAGAGGGCCTAGACAAGTGGCACAAACGCTAGTAGAATAGAATGGTTTATGAATGAATTGACGTCATGAAATTTGATCTAGCGTTTCGAACGTGTAATTGGTAGCCAAGTGTATCACGATTCTATTCCATTAAACGAAACGACAATGTAATACGATATTCTCCATACAAATGCGTAGGCAAGTGGCACATTTGACAAGCGAATTCGACTGTAAACGTTTCTAATGTACGCTTACGAAGCGAACGCTACGACCCTGTAGAAAACGCTACGATACACTACCCAAGATGGCGATTATTTAAACAGCTGTTAGATACCGGTAGTTGTTTTTGTGAAAAATTTCGTTTAAATTAATAAAATTTGTACAAATGCACGCACTTATATTATTGTGGGCGGTGTCCAAGCCGTACGGCTTGGGCGTCATTGAAGAAATAAATTTCGTCATTTCTTAATGCAAATTAGTGAAATACCGGTGTATATGTCGCAGTAAGATAGATGTAGCCATAATATAGTTATATCCCTAGGGATATAACTATATACTGGAACATAGTTATACGAAAGCGATTCATTACTATCTGACTAGGGATATAGTTATAAAACGGACCAAGTTTAGTGATATACTTATATTACTAGATTAACCCCCTTACTAATAAAAAATTACACACATCTTATAACAGAGGTATAGCAGACTCATTACTAATAATCAATTTTTGACATTTCCCGCGTATACAGCTGATAAAACCATTGTCAAAATTGTATGAAATGTTAGACAAGACTTATTCAGCCCGTGGACCTAGTATAACGTGTGAATAAGCGATCATTTTCGTATTTTAACTGTCAGACTCATAAAATTGATTTAACATTATTTTGCTAAAATGTGTTTAGTGATTGTGAAATCCGAAAAATCAACAAAAAAGAAAGAAAATTAATTTCGCAATGATCCTAACGATGATATTTTCATTAGAAGGAGCAGAGTTTATAAAGAAAATAAAAATTTTCAAAGAAACACAATATGGAATTTGTTGATCTGCTATCTCATGATATAGGTACAGCATAGGACTAAGGGTTCCCCAGCAGAAATCCGTGCCTGCATAGCTTTAGAGCCCTGCCTTTACACGACAAAAGATCAAGCCGATGCAGCTGATATTCATGGAATGAGTCAGTAATCTATCACAAATGTGTGTCGCAGAGTATCTATCGTATTGGCAAGTCGTGTCGCATATCGCAGAATTTGTTACTTTAGAAATGTGATTGCTTGAATAAGGCATATTTAATAAAATCAAACATCCAGTGTCAGTATTTTTATATTTGTCGGTACAACCAGGTTGTTATTCCTAAAAAGGCAAAACAACAATCGCATTACTATTTCCAAATAAACATAATCTTTTCTATTTTTACTAGAACATATTTATATTCATTCAATTGTAAGTTTGTAATCGCCAACCCGCATTGAGCAAGCGTAGTGATTAATGCTCAAACCTTCTTAGTATTAAAAGAGGCCTTTGCTCAGCAGTGAGCACTTATAGGCTGATGATGATGATGATATTTATATTCACATCAAGCATCAAGCATAGGATAAAAATTAATACGTGGCATAGAAGTGTGACGAAATATCTGTAATAGATACAGATACGTATTACGAATACAATATTTGTAATACTTATTTATTTGTTCGTTCATTGATATATTAGGATAAACTAATTTAATTTCACATGTCTACTGGTCAGAACCAGCTGATTGGCAGTTGACTAACCAGAAGATGGGGTTTTTTTTTTTTTTTTGTGAGGGGAAAATCATCAAATGACTTCTCCCGCCCAGGGCCGGGCAGGAGGGAGTGTCAGACTCTTACTGACTAAAAACCCCCCTGTTCCTTCTCCTGCTCTGTGCCGAGGTCGCGGTACCTCATTGCGCTTACCCCGCAACCCCGGCTGAACATCAGCCCTTTAGGGCCCCGTCTGTGGTGGTCTATTGGCTCTTTGAGGCGCGCGCGGAACGCTACGCGCCGTACGCTCGGGCCTGGTTCTGGTCGGGCGGCGAGCTGCCCTTACTCGCCGACCGCAGGCCCGTACTTACGGTGGCCGGAGATCGTCCCTCGATCCCCGACGCCCGTAGTGTCGCCAGTTGCGGCTGCTGGGGCGTGAGGAGGAGGATTGCTCCCTCACGCGGGCCGCCTCTCTCTTTGCGAGCATGACTGCTTCACAAAAGGAGGAGACGGCGTCCCAGTTCCTCTCACTCCGCACCATGGCCTCGACTAAGGCCGGGCGCGAGAGGTCGCCGCCGCCGATCACTTCCCTGAGGATACGGCGGTGCTCAGCCCAGGCAGGGCATACCGCTACCGTATGCTCCACCGTATCCTCTAGGTGGTCCTCACAATGACGACACTCGGGCGTTTCCTCCCGCTGAATCCGAAACAGGAACCTACCGAAGCTGCCGTGCCCGGTAAGCACCTGCGTCAGACGGAAGGTGAGGACGCCGTGGCGTCTCTCAAGCCACTCCTCAAAGAGGGGTCTTACCGCTGCTATGGTAGCGTGCCCGAACCAGAAGATGGGGTATGATGGCGATATAAACCGAAATTTTGAAGGAGATTGTGAAGTTTTAAAATTGTTTGATGTGGAGATAATGTATCTTAATACTTATAACATTATTTCACATCAATTATAGGTAAAGGAATATAAGATCAGCTGCCCTAATATTAGCTTGATATTCATTAATAGGTATAACACCTATTATTAAAAGCTGTTACGAATATTTTCAGTACCTAATTGGGTTATCGAAGTATAATTCTAATGCCACGACTCTAATTTATGTCAAATATGTATTTGACATTGATTAGGTACATTCGAAATATCAACATTTTTATCAAAAATGTTTCGCAAAGAATTGATAAATTAATATTTTAAAACTAAATTAAAAACCTAAAACCTTCTTTTTGTTTTACAAAATCAAGTATTTTATTGATTATTATAATTAAATAATTATAATAATACAAGAATATTGTCAAGAAGTGTTTCTGTTCGGAAGTTTCGGAACGCTTTCATCAATGTTGCTAGCAATCAGCAGTATAAGGAATAAATAGTTATTCAAGGTATACGCATTGTTTATTGGTAATGACTTGTATAAAGTATTACTAACTCCCTATTCAATGAATAGCTATCAAAGTGTTAAACAAGTGCGTAACCGAACTTTATCAAACAACCAACACCACCCCACCAATAGATACTCACCTCCCTCCTCTCCTCGGCACATACCTCCAAATTCACCTCTTTGAAGGGGTAGAATTATAGGACCCCTCAGACCAAAAGGCACCTAACCACCAATTTTGTTCGGGTTTCTTCTTCTTGGTGATAGGTGCTAGTAAGATACCCTAGGAGGGAATATTTTGGCACCTGCCTGCTGGAGGAGGCACTCATCCGTGGCATCTCAAGCAAAGTTATTGTTGTGTTGTAGGAACGTAGGCCCTCTTCATCATGGCCCTTCAGGCCCTGCTTCTTCGCCTTGTTAAAAGGCTGAACAATAGTTCAACACTCCAAGCTAAAGTT